TCCACCTCCACCGCCTCCACTCCCGCTGCTGCCTCCACCACCACCGGTGCCACCACCACCACCGTCTCCGCCGCTGCTGCTACCACCACCACCACCACTACCACTACTCCCGCCGCCACCCCCACTCCCTCCGCCGCCCCCGCCGCCACCGCCACCGCCCCCTCCTGCTCCGCCCGCGCCCTTGCCCCCCTTGCCCTTGCCAGAGCGACGTCTCCCACTAGGGGCAGACGCCGCGCCGACCGACTCAAGACCAAGCAGGTCGGCCGCAGCAGCAGAGGCAACAGAGGGCAGCAAGGGGGAAGGAGAGCACCTCTCAAAGATGGGGGTGCGAGGGTCACCACGAGAGGCACCTACAGCGACTATGCTCTTCTCCGCTGCGAGGAGGGCCTTCTCGAGGAGGTCGACGGTTAGAGTGGTGGGACAGACTGCGAGAAAGTGGTCCCTGACTACGCGGAGGGAGTCAGGGAGGCGCGCGACTACGTAGTAGAGAGTGATGTACATGGGGGGGGGGTTCTTAGTGCAGAACTCAGCAGGAAGGGCGGCGCGGTAGCGAGTGTCACTTGTGCGAAGGTGCGTAATGAGGTCAGCGACAGTGGGAAAGGCAGAGAGGTCAGGAAAGAGGTAGGGAAGCATGAGACGGCTCAGTGCAGCAGTGGCAGGAGAGGAGTAGCGCGCAACTACAGCGTCGTACAAGGTCTGAGCACTCTTGTACTGACTAAAATGCGCACGCTCAGAGGTAGGGAGGTGGCGACGCACAGCAAGACGTGCAGCAGCATCGCGGGTGGCCCACTGAGAGCGGACAGTGGGATCAGCATTGGCAGCAGGAGCAGGAGAGGCGCCAGAGGTGAGGTCAAAGAGAGAAAGGCTGTCAGCTCTGTCGCACTGTAAGAAGAGCTGCAGGTCATCTAGCCAGACCTCAAAATCAATGGCGCGACCCTCGGCGTCAAAGGCTAGGACACTAGGGGTGGCCATGATGACGACAGCGAAGCAGTGCAAGCAGTAGGGAAAGAGGGCGCAGTGACAGAGGGACTGTGCTCACCAGGCAGGGCAGGCCGTGCAGCTCGACAGAAAAGCAGAGCGGCGACCGGGCGGCTCGGGTGTACAGCTGCTCAGCTCCCGGGCGGCTCGGCGGCAGGGCGGCTCGGGTGCAGGGCGGCTCGGCTCCCGGGCGGCTCGGCGACTGGGCGGCTCGGCTGCCCGGCCGCCCGACTGCTGCAGGTGAGGCGGCGGGGTCGCGTGAGAGAACCGGGGCGGGGCCGCGAAGGGGGGGGCCGGCAGTTGGGCCGCGTTGGAGCCGGCGGCAGGGCCGGCGGTAGGGCCGGCGGAGGAGCCGGGGCAGAGCCGCGTTGGAGCCGGCGGCAGGGCCGCGTAGGGGTCGGCGCAGGGCCGAGCAGAGGCTGGCGGCAGGGCCGCGTAAGGAGCCGGCGGACAGGGCCGTGAAGGAGCCGGGACGGGGCCGCGTGAGAGCCGGCGCGGGGCCGAGTAGGAGCCGGGGGCGGGGCCGCGTAGGAGCCGGGGAAGGGCCGCGTAGGAGGCCGGCTCGGGGCCGCGTAAGGGGCCGGCGACGGGGCCGCGTAAGGGGCCGGCGCGGGGCCGCGTAAGGGGCCGGCGGACAGGGCCGCGTAGGAGCCGGGGCGGGGCCGCAATGGAGCCGGTGGCGGGGCCGCAATGGAGCCGGTGGCGGGGCCGCGTAAGGGCCGGTGCGGGGCCGAGTAGGAGCCGGGGACGGGGCCGCGTAGGAGCCGGCGCGGGGCCGCTTAGGAGCCGGCGCGGGGCCGCGTAAGGGCCGCGTAAGGGGCCGGCGCGGGGCCGCGTAAGGAGCAGGCGGCGGGGCCGCGTAAGGGTCAGGGCGGGGCCGCGACAGAGTGGGCGGCGAGGCCGCAGGGGAGAGGGCGACTCGAGGGGTCGCTAAAAAAAAAACAGCGCCTCGGGGCGCGCTTCGGTGGGCCCAAAAAAAAATCGGTCCTGGAGGGACCTAGCTCTATACCATGTGAAACAATGAGAAGAGGAAATGAAATGACTAAGTCAGAAATTGGTACAAATAGCAAACCCTAGGAATCTGTACCCCATATGTGCTACCCCACTATAGCCTACAAACATGTATCAGCTATAATGTTCTGACACTCTCGACTTCAGCACTGCTTTCTTGCAGGGCAGCCTGCACGAGGAGATCTGGCTTCGTCGCCCACCTGGCTTCACTGGGTCTTTCCCTCCTGATACCCAGTGGAGTCTCCGGCGTCCAGTCTACGGTCTCCGCCAGGCGCCACGTGAGTGGCACGACACACTGAGGACTACGCTGGCGGCACTTGGGTTTGCTCCTTCTACTGCCGACCCGTCGCTGTTTCTGCGCACTGACACCTCTCTGCCGCCGTTCTACATCCTCGTGTATGTCGACGACTTGGTCTTTGCCACTGCTGACACTGCTGGACTCGCCTACGTGAAGTCCGAGCTGCAGAAGAGACACACGTGTACTGACCTGGGTGAACTGCGCAGCTACCTTGGCTTGCAGATCACCCGGGACAGAGCACGCCGCACCATTACCCTGACTCAGTCACACATGGTGCAGCAGGTCCTTCAGCACTTCAGCTTCACGTACTCCTCGCCTCAGGCCACTCCTCTGCCTACTCGCCACTCGCTCTCAGCTCTGCCTTCGAATGAGTCCGTAGAGTCGAGTGGCCCGTATGCAGAGCTTGTTGGCTGCCTCATGTACCTGATCACCTGCACACGACCTGACCTTGCATACCCTCTTAGCATTCTCGCACGCTATGTTGCTCCTGGGAGACACCGACCAGAGCACATGGCTGCAGCGAAGAGGGTGTTGCGCTACTTGTGCAGTACGTCGGGCATGGGGCTAGTGCTTGGAGGGTGCAGTCCAGTGGTCCTCACTGGGCACGCGGACGCTTCTTGGGCTGTTGACCAGGCTACGCAGCGGTCGTCACAGGGTTACACCTTCAGCCTTGGTTCCGGCTCTGTTTCGTGGCGGGCTACCTGCTCGTCTTCTGTTCTCGGCTCTAGTTGTGAGGCTGAGATCTACGCGGGGGCTATGGCTGCCCAGGAGCTTTGCTGGCTCACCTACCTGCTGACCGGCCTTGGAGAGCCGCCGCGTTCTCCTCCAGTCCTGTACGTAGACAACAAGGCCATGCTGGCCTTGTGTCGAGAGCACCGACTAAAGCACAGAACAAAGCACATTGCTCTCCGCTACTTTCTTGCTCGTGAGCTGCAGCAGCGTGGACAGTTGCGACTTGCGTACGTGGCCTCTGAGGCCAACACTGCTGATGTCTTCACCAAGGCACTTGCGCCTTGTGTTCATCATTGTTGCTGCACGCAGCTGGGTGTTGTGCCTGTCTTGCCTCACTTGCTCACTTCTTGACCTTGCTTGTACCTTCACCTATATATACTCTTGCCCTTGCTTGCTTGACTGTTGTATATCTCTGTATATGATCTTGCATGTGGACTGGCCTTCTGGCCTTTGAACTTGTGCTCGGAATGTGTGGTGACTTTGTGATCCACCCTGAGCTTTGCTTTGCTTTGCTTGACTGGTCTTGTGACCCCTTGTTCTCCCCCACTTTGCCTATGCGGGTGTGTCAGAACATTATAGCTTACTTATTTGTGTAGGCTATAGTGGGGTATCTCATAGGGGCTACAACCCAATTAGGGTTTCCTATTTGTACTCACTTCGTTCATAGTCATTTCATTCTCGTTCACTTCTTCTCAAGGCTATGGCTCATCATGGCCTCTAATTGTCCAACTTATATGCTTTAGTCTGTGTAGGCTGTAGTGGGGTAGACTAAATGGGGTACAACATTTCTAGGTTTCCCTACTTTTACCCACCTGCTTGCTAGTTCATTCATTCCTCATTCTTTCACATGGTATAGAGCAGGTTCCCTAGTGGGAACGCTTCCTTGGGCCCACCACTGAATTTTTTTTTTCTGACCGGAGCGCCAGTCGCTACAGCCCGAGGCGCGCCTTGCGGGCCGCTCTTCCGTCGAGACCCCTTAGAGGCCCCTCCCACGGCCCCGCGTGCCGCCCCTAGCGGCCCCTAAGGGCCCCGTCGCGGCCCCGTAGCCGCCCCTAGCGGCCCCGTCGCCGCCCCTAGCGGCCACGTCGCCACTCCTAGCGGCCCCGTTGCCGCCTCTCCTCCTACGCGGCCCCATCGCCGCCCCTAAGCGGCCTTGTCGCCGCCCCTACGCGGCCCCGTCGCCGCCCCTAGCGGCCCCGCTGCCGCCTCCCTACCTACGCGGCCCCGTTGCCACCCCTTCGCAGCCCTGTCGCCGCCCCTACGCGGCCCCGTCGCCGCCTCTAGTGGCCCCGTCGCCGCCCCTAGCAACCCCGTTGCCGCCTCCCTACCTACGCGGCCCCGTCGCCGCCCCTAGCGGCCCCGTCGCCGCTCCTAGCGGCCGCGTCGCCGCCTCTCCACCTACCCGGCCCTGTCGCCGCCCCTAAGCGGCCCTGACGCCGCCCCTACGCGGCCCCGTTGCCGCCCCTAGCGGCCCCGCTGCCGCCTCCCTACCTACGCGGCCCCGTCGCCGCCCCTACGCGGCCCTGTCGCCGCCCCTACGCGGCCCCGTCACCGCCCCTAGCGGCCCCATCGCCGCCCTCAGTGGCCCCGTCGCCGCTCCCCTCCCTACGCGGCCTCGTCGCCGCCCCTAGCGGCCCCTTCAGCCGCCAAGCCGCCCAGCAGCTGAGCCACCCAACAGCCGAGCCGCCGAGCAGCCGAGCCGCCCAGCCACCGAGCCGCCGAGCCGCTCGACAACCGAACCGCCCAGCAGCCGAGCCGCCGAGCCGCCCAGCAGCCGAGCCGCCGAGCCGCCGAGCCGCTGAGCACCCGAGCCGCCGAGCCGCCCTACCGTCGAGCCCCTACTGCTCCTACCGGCGCGCCCCGGCCTTACTTACTCGGACTGGTGAGATCACTCCCTGTTAAGCCACTACAGTCATGGCTAGCCCCAGTGTCCTTTCCTTTGATGCTGAGGGTCGTGCTGTTGACTTTGAGGTCTAGGTCGATGACCTCCAACTGTTCCTACAGTGCGATAGGGCACACGGACTCTCTCTGTTCGATCTCACCTCTGGTGTCTCTCCTGCCCCGCCTGCTACTGTTGACAGCACTGTTCGCTCACAGTGGGCCACACGCGATGCTGCGCCTTGCTGTGCGTCGCCACTTACCGACCACTGAGCGTGCGCACTTTAGCCAGTACAAGAGTGCTAAGACCTTGTACGACGCTGTAGTTGCACGCTACTCCTCCCCTGCCACTGCTGCGCTTAGCCGCCCCATGCTGCCGTACCTCTTCCCTGACCTTGCTGCCTTTCCCACAGTCGCTGACCTCATTACGCACCTTCGCACTAGTAGTGACACTCGCTACCGCGCTGCGCTTCCTGTTGAGTTCTGTGCCAAGAACCCCCCCCCCCCCATGTACATCACCCTCTACTACATAGTCACCCGGCTCCCTGACTCCCTTTGCTTAGTCAGGGACCACTTCCTCTCAGTTTGCCCCACCACACTCACTGTTGACCTCCTCGAGGAGCGCCTCCTAGCAATAGAGAAGAGCATAGTCCCTGTAGGAGCCTCTCGTGGTGACCCTCGCACCCTCGTCTTTGAGGGGTGTTCCCCCTCCCCCCTCTGTTGCTTCTGCTGCTGCGGCCGACCTCGTTGGTTTTGAGTCGGTCGGCCGGCAAGGGCAAGGGGGGCAAGGGCGCTAGAGGGGCTAGCGGGGGCGGTGGAGGTGGTGGTGGAGGCAGTGGAAGGGGTGGGGGTGGTGGTGGGAGTGGTGGCGGGGGTGGAGTTGTCGGTGGCAGCAGTGGAGGCGGAGGAGGCGGCGGTGGTGGTGGAGGGAGCGGAGGCGGCGGAGGTGGCGGAGGCGGCGGAGGCAGCAGTGGAGCTGGTCACGGCTCTGCACAGAGGAGTGGGTCCGGTGGTGGTCCGCACCAATAGCAGCAGCGCAGTCGTGAGACCCTGTCCCCTCAGGAGCTCCGTGAGTGGTACACTGCGCGTCAGCACGGTGGGGAAACTGGTCCCTGCACCTACGTCCTCCGTACCGGCGACCGCGCTGGTGAGCAGTGCGGGGGCCCGCACTCCACGCAGCGCTACTTCGGTCGCCTGACGGACGCGTGGCGTCACCAATTCCTTCAGGCCTCTGAGATCCCTCGCAAGGACGTTCTGTCTAGGGCGGGGGTTGCTATCTTTGATCTGGATTATGATGCTATTCTTGCTGCCATGTATGTTGTGTCTACTAGTGATGAGGGTGACTGTTACCTGTGTGTTCCGCCTGGCCCGGGCATTGAGACTGTTGCTCTAGGTGCTGGTGAGGCTGCTGCTCTAGGTGCTAGTGCGTCTGGTGCCCCAGGTGCTGGTGAGTTTGCTCTCTCAGGTACTACGTCGGCTCAGGCCTTACACACCTTCACCCTTGACTCGGGTGCTTCCCGCTCCTTCTTTCGAGACCGCACCACGCTTACGCCGCTTAGTCAGCCGGTTGCAGTCTCCCTGGCGGACCCCTCTAGGGGTCCTGTCCTTGCTAGCTTCTCCACTGTCTTACCGTGCCCGGCAGCCCCCTCTGGCACCCTGTCAGGTCTCTACCTCCCCTCGTTCTCTACGAACTTGGTGAGTGGAGCTAATCTACAGGATAGGGGGGTTGACCAATTCACTCCTGCGAGTCAGCGGGTGACCCACTGCACGTGTGCTCGGACAGGCCGACACTTGGCCACGTTCACCCGTCGGCCGGAGTCGAGCGTGTACACACTTACTACTGAGTCTCCTCCGGTTGCTGAGTCTAGTTAGGTCGCTGCGTCGAATCAGGTGTTTGTTGCAGCGTCCAGGTCTGGTCCTGAGTCTGCTCCCTGCTCGTGTCGTCTCCTGTCCCACCAGACTCTCCTTTGGCACAACCGCTTTGGTCACCCCTCCTTGCCTCGTCTCCGAGGCATGGCCTCCCGTGTCCTTGTCTCAGGTGTCCCCCGTTCTCTCCCTCCCCTACCTCCGAGGCCTGCCACCACCTGCGTCCCCTGCGTCGAGGGGCGACAGCGCGCCGCCCCTCACTCCTCCGAGTTACCTCTGACAGAGGCTCCGCTGCAGACTCTTCACATGGACGTGTGGGGCCCTGCCCGCGTCTGTGGTTAGGGGCACGAGCGTTACTTCCTGTTGGTGGTTGACGACTACTCGCGTTACACCACAGTCTTTCCCTTGCGCAGCAAGGGTGACGTCACTGAGGTGTTGATCGACTGGATACGCGCAGCTCGTCTCCAGCTCAGCGAGAGTTTAGGCTCTCACTATCCTGTTCTGTGGCTGCACTCTGACAGAGGCGCGGAGTTTTCCTCTGCCCGTCTGGGAGCCTTCTGTCGTGCACAGGGCATCCGTTAGACCTTCACGCTTCCGGCCTCTCCACAGCAAAATGGGATTGCTGAGCGCCGCATTGGCATGGTCATGGACGTGGCTCGTACGTCCATGATCCATGCGGCTGCCCCCCATTTTCTGTGGCCATTTGCGGTTTAGTACGCAGCGCATCAGCTCAACCTTCAGCCCCGGGTCTCCTTGCCAGAGACCTCCCACACCTTGCGGTGGACGGGGAAGGTTGGCGATGCGTCTGCGTTTCGGGTCTGGGGATCTCGGGCGTTTGTCCGCGACTTGTCTGCGGACAAGCTGTCCCCCCGTGCTGTTCCCTGCGTCTTCCTTGGCTTCCCCCTTGACGCGCCTGGGTGGCAGTTTTACCATCCCACCTCGTGTCGCGTTCTGTCCTCCTAGGACGTCACCTTTGACGAGTCAGTGCCTTACTACAGTCTCTTCCCCTACCGCACTGCGCCCCTCCCCCCGCCGCCGCTCTTCCTTGCGCCAGGTCCTCCCCCGGTAGACCCCCTCCCTCCTAAGGGTCCTGCCCCGTCAGGTGTGTCCCAGGTAGACGCAGTCGAGCCTGTCAAGGTATCTGTTGACTCTGGTGCTGCTAGAGGTGCTGTGCCTGCGGGTGCCGGGTCTGAGGGTGCGGAGCCTGGGGGTGTTGAGTCCAGGGTTGCGGAGCCTTGGGGTGCTGAGTCTGGGGGTGCTAAGCCTGGGGGTGCTGAGTCTGGGGGTGCTGAGCCTGGGTGTGCTGAGCGTGGGGGTGCAGAGCCTGCGGGTGCTGGGTCTGCTAGTGTGGCCTCTCGCGGTGCTTCGTCAAGGCGGGAGCCGCTCTCTCCGCAGGAGATGCGCGAGTGGTTTGCCCGGCGCTGGAGCCGTGCTGCTGGAGCTGGAGGTACTACTGTTGCTGCTAGTCCCGGAGGTACTCGTAGTGGCAGTACTTGAGCTGCTGGGGCTGGGGGTGCTGCTGGAGGTACTACTTGAGCTGCTGGCGGTACTGGAGCTGCCGGTTCTGCTGAAGTTGGTGCTGCTGGAGCTGCTGTTGCTACTGGAGCTGGAGCTGCTGGGGGTGTCGGCGCAGGTGGTTTCGCTGGCGCTGGTGGTTCTGCTGGCGCTGGTGCGTCTGAGGGTGCTGGAGTTTGCGCTGTTGGAGCTGGAGGTGCTGCTGACGCTGGTGCTGCCTCTGGGGGTGCTGGTGCTGTCCTTGTTGGTTCTGGAGGCGCTGCGCAGCCAAGGCCGTACTTCGTTCTGCTCCTTGAGCAGGTTCTTGGTCTCCCGCCCTCTACTGGTCCTGCTCCTCCCTTAGAGTGTCCTCAGCCTGTCTAGTCGCAGTCACAGTTACAGCCCGCCTCCCCTCTGCCTGCTCCTTCTCCCTACACTGGTCCTACTAGAGGTCTTGCTCAGCGTCGTGAGCCTGAGTCTCGTCCTGCGTCGCCTGTTCGTGCTGCTCGCACTAGTCGTCGTGCTCCGCGTCCGCGTCCTCCTGCGGTCCCAGGCACACACCAGATGGCACTGCGTCCTTCCACTGCTCCTCTGCATGTCCCGTTGCCGTCTCCTCCAGGGTCCTCTCTTCCTGTTCTTGCTGACTCGGAGTCTGACTCTCTTCGTGCTGCCAGTCCAAGCGTCACGCGTCTCCTGGCCACTGTTGTCAGTGACCCTTCCTTTGAGTCCACTCCTACGTCTGCCTTAGTTGCTGAGCTTGTCGACTTTGCTGCTCGATGACGTCTAGACTACGCTGCTAGTGTCGTTGCTGAGTCTGAGTCTGTCTGTCCTCCGTCCGTCGGGGGTGAGTGTGCTCTTAGCACGGACGTCCTTGAGGACAGGCAGGAGGAGTTCCAGTGTTTTGCTGCTGCTTTGCCTCATCTCGTGTCCACGCTGATTGCCCCTAAGGGAGACCCGGATGCACCAGACATCCCGACTCCTCGATCGTACGCTGAGGCGATCGAGGGTCCCTACTCCTTTCAATGGCAGTCAGCCATGGACGCAGAGATGGCTTCATGGAAGTCCACAGGCACCTACGTCGACGAGGTTCCCCCACCTGGGGCGAACATCGTCGGTGGCATGTGGATTTTCAGGGTGAAGCGGCTGCCGGGTTCTCCACCTGTCTTCAAGGCGCGTTACGTGGCTCGAGGCTTCAGTCAGCGGTAGGGAGTTGACTACTTTCAGACCTTCTTTCCCACCCCAAAGATGACCACTCTTCGGGTGCTGCTGCACATAGCCGCTCAGCGCGACTACGAGCTCCACTCTCTTGACTTCAGCACAGCTTTCCTGCAGGGCAGCCTGCACGAGGATATCTGGCTGCGCCGCCCACCTGGCTTCACTGGGTCGTTTCCTCCTGGTACCCAGTGGAGCCTCCGGCGGCCAGTCTACGGTCTCCGCCAGGCGCCCCGTGAGTGGCACGACACACTGAGGACTACACTTGCGGCTCTTGGGTTTGCTCCTTCTACTGCTGACCTGTCGCTGTTTCTACGCACCAACACCTCTTGGCCGTCTTCTACATCCTCCTGTACGTCGACGACTTGGTCTTTGCCACTGCAGACTCTACTGGACTTTCCCACGTGAAGTCCGAGTTGCAGAAGAGACACACGTGCACAGACCTGGGTGAACTGCGCAGCTACCTTGGCTTGCAGATCACCCGGGACAGAGCACAGCGCACCATTACCCTTACTCAGTCACACATGGTGCAGCAGGTCCTTCAGCACTTCGACTTCACGTACTCCTCGCCTCAGGCCACTCCTCTGTCTACTCGCCACTCGCTCTCAGCTCTGCCTTCGGATGAGTCCGTAGAGCCGAGTGGCCCGTACCTAGAGCTTGTTGGCTGCCTCATGTACCTGATGACCTGCACACGACCTGACCTTGCATACCCTCTTAGCATCTTGGCACGCTATGTTGCTCCTGGGAGACACCGACCAGAGCACATGGTTGCAGCGAAGAGGGTGTTGCGCTACTTGTGCAGTACGTCGGGCATGGGGCTAGTGCTTGGAGGGCGACGTCCAGTGGTCCTCACAGGTCACGCAGACGCTTCTTGGGCTGACGAACAGGCTACGCAGCGGTCGTCACAGGGTTACACCTTTAGTCTTAGCTCAGGCTCTATTTCGTGGCGGTCTATCCGCTCGTCTTCTGTTCTCGGCTCCAGCTGTGAGGCTGAGATCTACGCGGGGTCCATGGCTGCACAGGAGCTACGCTGACTCACCTACCTGCTGACTGACCTAGGAGAGCCGCCTCGTTCTCCTCCAGTGCTGTACGTAGACAACAAGGCCATGCTAGCCTTGTTTCGGGAGCACAGACTGGAGCACAGAACGAAGCACATTGCTCTCCGCTACTTCCTTGCTCGTGAGCTGCAACAGCGTGGTCAGCTGCGCCTTGCTTACGTGGCCTCTGAGGCCAACACTGCTGATATCTTCACCAAGGCACTTCCGCCTGGTGATCATCAGCGCTTCTGTACGATGCTAGGTCTTGTACCTACTTGGCCTCACTTGCTCACTTCTTGACCTTGCTTGTACTGTGATCTTTCTATACCTGCACTTGCCTGTTTACCTTTATATATGATCTTGCATGTGAACTGGCCTTTTGGCCTTGCTCTTGTGCTCGGATTGTGTGGTGAAGTTGTGATCCACCCTGAGCTTGCTTTGCTTTGCTTGACTGGTCTTGTGACCTCTTGTTCTCCCCCACTTTGCCTATGGGGGTGTGTCTAACTTATATGCTATGGTCTGTGTAGGCTGTAGTGGGGTAGACTATATGGGGTACAACATTTCTATGTTTCCCTACTTGTACCCACCTGCTTGCTAGTTCATTCATTCCTCATTCTTCCACATTAATCTGCTGCGCTCTTACTAGCAAGAGGCTTCTTCAGCATGTCCTCTCTTTCGTTGTGAGTCCTCTGCTCCGTTTCTTGCAGACTTGACCAACTCATCTTGTTCCTCAAGCTGTCTAAACTCCTCATTGTTATTTGCAGCAATCCATGGTTCAGAATGAAACCTTACAAAAACATTTACCACATGCTTTTGTCCAACACGCATGAGCATCTTGAATATGCAGGAAACATCATTGACTGGATCTTATCTTCTTTTTCTCCTTCTTTTTCTTTCTTTGCAACCATTTATTGCAATACTCACTGGGTGCAGGAGAAACAGCCAATCTCCCTCGTGTACGAGGACGAGCTTTGGGAGAACACCATTCGCTACTTCCTTACCCACCACGGCCAGCACATCACTTCTCTTGATCTCATCTTCACAGAAATGGACCAGCTCCCCTCCCTCCGCCCTTTGATCACTCGCTGCAGCCCCTCTCTTTCCTCCTTCAGACTGAAGTTGCGGGGCTTCGTAACCATGTTCGATGAGCATGAGTACAAGGACTGGACTCTCAGCTTCCTTCAAAACTGCTCGCACCTGCAGCGCCTGAAGCTGGGCCGAGGCATGTGGAACCTCGAGAAGAGCTGCGCGAATGCCGCGTGGCTGAAATCAATCCGCCGCCTGACCCTGAAGCAGGTGGATACGAGCCACGTGAACTTCGAATATATCGATTCCATCACGCCGCAGCTGCACGAGTTCACGCTCTACCTGCACTGGCACCTCTCCCGTGGACCCGTCTTTGGCTCCCACGCTATGACCTTCTCCTTCCCCAATGCCCGCCTCCTCCGCTTCCGCTTTGCCAGCAACGAGTTCAAGCTCACCCTCTCTGTCTCCCCTGCACTCAAGACTCTCTCAGTGATGGCCAAGTGGCTTGTTCTCTCCTGCAAGAGCACCGCTCCTCTTGCTCTCGACCACCTTTCGCTGTACGGCCAGGAGCGGCTCGTCATTTCCTCCCTCCCCATCGCATCCGTGCGAGCTGCCTACCTCAATGGCCCAGCCAGTGATGAGGAATCCAGCTGCCCCGGGATCTCTTACCAGCTGCCCCCCTCCTGGCAGCACGTTCCCCGCGGCATTTCCGGCTTTTCCTGGACCGAGTGGCTGCGCTCTATAGCTCAAAACGTGGAGGTGCTTGTAGTGAGGCATGGGATTCCGATCCACGAGGTGGGTGTGGAGTGGAGGAACCTGCGTAGCCTTGGGATTGTCATGCATGCGGAGGGGCCGCACAACAAGGAGTGGGAGGCGACGGTGGAGAATTATAGGGCGTTTATGGAGGACGGGGAGTTTGATGATGATCTGGATGAGGACGGTGGCTGGGGTGGGTGTTATGGTGATGATGACGAGGAGGAAGATGATGATGAGGATGAGGATGGTTTCGATGATGATGATGAGGAGGGTGAGTATGGGGGGAGGGGTTGCGGTGGAGGAAGGGGAGGGAGTCGCAAGAAGAAGGCCCCTGCGAAGCCGCCTTCTATCGATGCTCCGAATCTGCAGTTCTTCTTCTTCCCCTCTCGCAAGGCGTGTGACGCCGCCACACTGGCTGCACTGCGGCAGGACTACCCCGCCCCTGGCGCTCTACTGTGTGGTGGACCGCTCCTTCTACTGGCAGAGGAAGGGGCAGCCGGTGAGCAATGCGCCGCTCAAGCATGTGCGGCAGGCGAAGAGCGGGGTGCTGCGGGATAGGTTTGATGAGAGGAAGCAGCCGAAGAACGTGAGGGAAAATATGTACAGTGTGAATAGGAAGCTGGTGGAGGGGTACAGTGTTGAGGAGGATGAGGCTCATATGTTCAAATACAAGGGAAGGTTCTAGGAGATGCAGCAAAGGGTAGCCAGGATGAATTGCATATTGGAACATGATGTCCAGTTCTATGTGTTTTTTTGTGGTCCAGTTAATCTCTAGGTGAGACTATGCGAGTTTCTTTGTGATACCATTGGTGGTGCGTTGGGAATGTTCGTATGTGCTGGTTCGTCATATAGTTGTTACTTCACTAGCCATTTATTGACTCAACTAAAGCTCCACTCCAGGGCCCCTACCACTTCTCATCACTCCACTCCATTTGTCTGGTGGTGGATGTATAGATTTGACAGAGCGTCTACTTGTAGCCAATGATTCTGGAATATCACATGCTTCTAGCGAAGTTTTGAAACCCTGATTTCTATTCTAGTGCACGTTCCAAGGGGATCAGCCACCACGTGCAGATTCCGTCGTGAACAGCGACACCAGCGAACACCTACTGTCGACATTATCCCCGCCAGAAAGGCTGAGATACGAAGCGATCGCCAACGTGACCTGATCTCTAGCCCGTTTCTGTAGCTGGTGTCGAAAGCGATACTGCTGCCTGGATCCGCCTTGTGTGAGGCGAATTTCGACTAGCATGGTTTGATAGTCTCTCGTGGGTCCTCCTGACACATGAGTGGCACCTACACACAAGTCCTTAGGGAGCTTCAATCCTGCCGCGCATGTCGCTGCCATGCCGACGCCCGCTGCCTGGACAACACCGCTGTCCCTTGATTTTGGCACAGCAACTGCCGCGCGAAACCTGAAACAGAATACACCGGCTTCGGTTTCTCGCTAGTGCTACCTCATTGAGGCTCCCATTCGCCTCGCCATTCCCTCTCTTCCGTCAACGAGAATCTGGCATTGATCGATGGAATCTTCACGTCCGTGTCGAAGTCAATGTAGGTGACGAAATTTGAATGACGGGTTTGAGACAAGTTTTACGTAGCCACCAATGCTGACACATAGTTCGGTATACATGCGCAATGCTGATTAGGGTAATGCAGAGGAAATTCCAGTAGGACGGGCAGAAAGAAATACTAATCTCATCATCCGTTTTTACTGGATTTTCTCGGTTTGTTTCTGTTATTTGTCACACAAATCTCATTCACCCGGAGCCTTATGTTTCGAGTCTCTTCCCTGTTCTTCAACGCAAACTGGCGCTTCCTGAAGTATTGCCGTTCTTGGGTTTCGCTCTTCAGCTTCCTATATTTTTAACCTCGCCATTCTAAGGCTAATACATTTTCGTTTGTATCGACATCTTTTCATCTGTTGGTTTCTCGCATGAGAAACTGTCACTCGCCTTCTTACTCCCATCCCCTTGCTCCTTGCGCTCTTTTCCGTGAGCAAGAGTCTCGTTCTCACTGTTTCTCTCCGTTCCTCTCTGATATGTTGCCATTTCCCTCTGACACTTTCATGTGATCCTCTGTCATTATCCTCCCTTTTCTGCATTCCATCATTCACCCTTCAGCCATCACTTGTCACGATGTGGTCGACATGCTGCCAGCTCCTCTCTGGCACCAAATCTTCCACTGCCTCCTGCGGCCACCCCTCCAAGTGGACAAACCCCAAGGCCTCACAGGATTTGAAAGCCTATGGTACAGCTCGGAGGAGCAGTCAGACGAGAGACAACAGCCGGACAACGAACAGAGTTTATGAAGATGTTCACATACCGGAATTCTTCTGCCAGTGATCAGCATAGATACAACGACAACAGCTATGGGTCCTCCTGGCCTCTACTCTGCTGTGGTATCGCCAGCAAGAAGCTTCTCCACCATGTCCTCTCCTTCGCTGTGAGCCTTCTGCTCTTCCTCGTTCTCCTATCAACTCTTTCTGTTCCTCATCTATTTTCTTTTCATCTCTTACTAATTCTCGCAGCTATTTCTGATTGAGAATCGAAACTTACTAAAAAAAAGACTTTCTCCATGTGTATGTGCTTCAGTCCAACACACATAAATATCTTAAACATGCAACAACCTTCTTTTGCGATACTGAACACACCAGCCAGTTTCACAAAGCCCAACTTCCTTGATCCCCATGAAGTGCAGGAGAGGCAGCCCATCTCCCTCGTGTACAAGGAGAAGAGCTGGCAGAAGACCATTCGCTACTTCCTCACGCGCCACGGCCAGAGCATCACCTCCCTCCACCTCATCTTCACCAACTTGCAGCAGCTCCCCACCCTCCGCCCCTTGATCGCTCGCTGCAGCCCCTCCCTCTCCTCCTTCAGCATCAAGCTGTGGGGCTTCGTGGACAGCGACGAGGAGCAGGAGGACGAAGCCTGGACTCTCGACTTCCTCACCGGCTGCTCGCGCCTGCACCAGCTGAAGCTGGGCTGGGGCATGTGGAACCTTGACGAGAGCTGTGCGAATGCAGCGTGGGTGAGGTCCATCCGCTGCCTGACCCTGAAGCACATGGATAGGAGATATAGAAACTACAAGTTCCTCGAGTCGATCACGCCGCAGCTGCACGAGTTCACGCTCTACGAGCACTGGCACCTCTCTCATGGGCCCGTCTTTGGCTCCCACGTCATGGAATTCAACTTTTCCAATGCCCGCCTCCTCCGCTTCCGCTTTGCCAGCAACGAGCTCAAGCTCAAGCTCACCGTGCCGCCCTCACTAAAGAGCCTATCGGTGATGGCCAAGTGGCTCGTGCTTTCCTGCAAGAGCACCGCCCCTCTCGCTCTCGACTCGACCACCTCTCGTTGTATGGTCAGGAGCGCCTTGTCATCTCCTCCCTCCACACCGCATCCACGCGAGCCGTGTACCTCAATGGGCCGGCCAGCGATGAGGAATCCAGCTGCCCGAGGCTCTCTGCTCAGCTGCCCCCTTCCTGGCAGCATGTTCCATACGGCATCTCTAACTTCTCCTGGACCAACTGGCTGGGCTCCATAGCGCAAAACGTTGAGGTACTTATAGTGAGGCATGGGATCCCGATCGAGGAGGTGGATGAGGTGTGGAGAAACCTGCGCAGCCTTGGGATTGTCGCGCACGCGAAGGGGGAGCATAGTAAGGAGTGGGAGGCGACGCTGGAGAATGACAGGGCGTTTATGGATGATGGGGAGTATGATGATGATGATATGGATAATTATGATGATGACGAGGATAGTATCAAGCTTCCCTCCATCCGCGCTCCGAATCTTCAGTTCCTGTTCTTCCCTTCCAGCAAGGCGTGTGATGCGTCCACACTGGCTGCACTGCGGCAGGACTACCCCGCCCTAGCGCTCTACTGTGTGGTGGACCGTTCGTTCTACTGGCACAGGAAGGGCGAGAGGGTGAGCAATGCGCCGCTCAAGCATGTGCGGCAGGCAAAGAGCGGGATGCTGCGGCATAGGTTTCTTGAGAAGAAGCCGAAGAATGTTAGGGAGAAGATGTACAGTGTGAACAGGAAGCTGGTGGAGGGGTATAGAGTTGAGGAGGATGAGGCTCATATGTTGAAGTACAAAGGAAGGTTTTAGGAAGTGCTTAGTCCAGCCAATCAAATCTTGGAATATCCGTGCATTGACCACTCGCGTTTGTTTTGCTCTGATTGTAGTCGCACATTGTAGAATTGCTAACAATTTTAGTGAATTGTGGATATGTGGTATCTTATTTTCATCGCCAAGCAATGCCAATAGCGGGAACGCAATTCTCACTCTTCAGCACCAAACGTAAGTCATTCCTGCAATGGGGCTCATAATGCGGTAATTGTGTCATCTTAGTAGCTATTTCACCCAAATCCAAGACTATAGTTTGTCGTGCGGACGGCTCTCATCATGCTCGCCTCCGTTGCTGTAAGCGCGCCAACGTCGTTGTGCGCTCTCCCTTCGTCGTCAATCTCACCGTCACCGTCACCGTCAACGTCAACGTCGCCTTCAGCTTCATTGACAGCACGCACAGCTAGCAAACGCAGACAGGGAGGGCCAACCAGGCTTCTAACTTTGTCTCCGCCCGGGTCGGCGTTATCGTTATCGTTACCGTCACCATCTCCCAGAACCCTTGTCCATTACACCCAGCAATCCGCGCCTCGAACTCCCTGCACCCCTCACCACCTCTCCGAAAACTCTTGTCTCTCCACCAGCCGCATTTTTAGAGTTTCCGCATCTCCCGCCGCCATCCCCGCATCCCTCATGTCTCGGAAAATCACAGCCACCGCTTTGAGGTCCCCACCAGGTGCCTCCGCCGCATCAGGCGCCGCATCAGGCGCCGCATCAGGCGCCGCATCCGGCGGCGCAGTTGCGGCGCGAAATTCAGCCGGCAGCTCAGGAACCACTCCAGGCCTGCGGAGCGGCAGAGGCGGCAGGGGGAGGGCGGTGGCGGCTCGCGCAAGTGGCGGCGGTGGGGGGGAAGCAGAGGCAGCGGGGGGAACGGGCGGAGGCATGGTGCTGGCCGCCGTGCTTGTCGCATGCATTGGCGCATTCGCCTTCGGTTACCACATCAGGTTCGAGTGGATGTGATGGGTTCGTAGCAACACAACAGCTCCACGGTGGAGCCACCGTAGTAGTGTAGTGCGGTGCGGTGTGACAAATTAGGGCCGCCCGCCTGCCTGCCTGTGTGTTTTCCTCCACTCCGCTGCATTCCAGACCAGAACCATCCTTGCCTTGCCTCACAAACAAGGCAAAACATCACGGCTCACCTTCCATGCGCGTTCCCTCCCGCCCCCTCTCTTCCCCCCACATCCACGGCAGCGTGGTGAACGGGCCGTTGGATCACATTTTACTCAGCATAGGCGCGCCAGGCATCTCTTTTTGAGGCGCCGCAAAAATCGTTCCCTCCTCTCTCTCACCCTCCCTCTCTCCCGCTCACGGCACGGCAGTGTGGTGAACGGGCCGTTGGATCACATCCTCGTCAGCATCGGCGCGCCAGGCAACCCTTCTCAGGCGCAAGAAATTTCGCGTCTTTTCGAGGCGCCTAAAACATCATCCCCTCCTCTCCCCCTCTCTCTCGCGTGTGTGGCAGTGTGGTGAACGGGCCGTTGGATCACATCCTCATCAGCATCGGCGCGCCTGGCAACTCCCTCGTAGGAGGTACGCTAGTGCTGCCATGCCATGTGTGTGTGCCTCTTGCTACTACATTGCCTCACGGTCTGTTGTTTCTCCTTGTCATCCCTCCACTCCCACTGTCTGCTGCTCTCCATAGACCCCTCTACTTATGCGCGCTGTCGTGGTAAGCTCTATCCCCCCCTTTGTCGCCTCACAACAACACCACCCTCACCAAGCCGTCTTCCTTTCGCACCACCACCCTTACTCGCCTCCCCATGTCTAATCCTCCACGGTACCCCCCCTCCCGCTGCCCCGCCAGGCTGGGTGCTGAGTGCCTCACTGCTCATCACATCATCACAGGCACCTTCTTCAAACGTGTCACAAGCCTGCTCATCATTACATGCTTGAGCGTCCCGTTCAAATGACTCCCAGATCGCCTGGGCTCACACGCTGTTACTCGCCTCCCCATGCCCGATCGTCTACGCCCCCTCCTTCCCTCCCATTCCCCCCCAGGTTGGGTGGTGAGTGCATCGTTGCTCACAGCAGCGTGCGGAGTGCTCTCAGGTGGCTGGCTGCCTTGTGGACTCACAGCAGAAACAGAACCTCGTAGCCCTCACACTGGTACTCGCCTCCCTTCCCATGTCTCATCTCATCATCTCCCGTACCCTTCCTCACACCCCCCTTCCCGCCGCCAGGCTGGGTGGTGAGTGCATCGCTGCTCACAGCAGCGTGTGGCGCGCTCTCAGCCGGCTGGCTCGCCGACTCTGTGGGCAGGCGAACCACCTTCCTGCTGCTCTCGCTGCCCCTCGCACTCGGGAGTGCTCTCAGGTACATGTTTATTCTGTTGCAAGGTGCTTGACTTGAGGTACACAGCAGCGTGTGGCGCACTCTCAGCTCAGCCGGCTGGCTGGCAGACTCTGTGGGCCGGGGAACCACCTTCCTGCTGCTCTCGCTGCCCCTTGCACTGGGGAGCGCGCTCAGGTACACGCTTCTTCTGCTGCTGCAAGGTGCTTTCATCTACATGCTTCTTCCGCTCCAGGGTGCTTGAGCTACACAGCAGCGTGTGGGGCCCTCTCAGCCGACTGGTTGGCTCGCCGATTCTGTGGGCCGGCGAATCACCTTCCTGCTGCTCTCGCTGCCCCTCGCACTGGGAAGTGCACTCAGGTGCTCGCTCCCTCCGCTGTTGCAGGTGTTTCAGGCGGATGCCACTATGCTGCCTGGCTGCTTGGCTGACTGTGTGGGCGACGAACAGCATTCCACCTACTCGCACGCATATTGACTGCTGGAACACATAACAGATAACAGAGCTGTTGCTATCTCTTGGCTGTCTCTCAGCTGGCTGGCGGCGATGGCAGGGAGTGTGTGTGGGTCCAGCAGAACAACATCTCGTTGTTAGACAGACATCTGGGGCCGATAGACAGCTCACGTCTTTTCCTGCTTTCGCCATATCCCCTGTATCCCGCTTCTCGCTTCCAATGCAGCAGTCCCCATCTTCCCCCCCGCCATACATTCAAACGCTCACTCCCCAGGCATGTGGTCATAGGTTGGAAGCCTCTCTCTGAAATCCGCTTATGTAGTCCAACCCACGTGCCTGGTCATAGGTCCGCTTCAAACGCTCACAGCCCAGCCCAGCCCTTCCAACCTGCAGTCAACTGCTATCGTCCAACGCCACAGCCCCTGTAACCGGTCTCTTTCTCCGCTGCAGAAGCCCCCCCCTCTCCCCTCTCCCCTCCCGCTTCCCTCTATGCCTCCAAACGCTCACTGCCCGGGCATCGATGCGCCGCCTCAAGGTCTTCTAATACCTGAATACGCCCCGTTCCCCACCCCCCTCTGCACCCTTGTCCCCATTCCCCCGCCTCCTGGCAGTGCCACAGCGTCATCGCCACCACAGATGCTGGTGGGGAGGCCGCTCACAGGGCTAATCATATTGGAAGTGCGTTGTGAGGTTGCAGTTCATGCCCCTTCCACCCTCGCCCTCCCTCCTTTCCTCCCTCTCTCGCAGTGCCACAGCGTCATCGGTGCCACAGATGCTGGTGGGGCGTGCGCTCACAGGGCTGGCCTTTGGCGTCATCTCCTGTGTTGTGCCCGTCTACATCTCCGAGGTGCGTGCCTCTCGGCCCGCCTGGCCGCCCGCCCGCTTGCACGCCCTGTCTGTCGGTCTGCTTATGCCTGTGCGCTCACAGGGCTGGCCTTTGGCGTCATCTCCTGTGTTGTGCCCGTCTACATCTCCGAGGTGCGTGCCTCTCGGCCCGCCTGGCCGCCCGCCCGCTTGCACGCCCTGTCTGTCGGTCTGCTTATGCCTGTGCGCTCACAGGGCTGGCCTTTGGCGTCATCTCCTGTGTTGTGCCCGTCTACATCTCCGAGGTGCGTGCCTCTCGGCCCGCCTGGCCGCCCGCCCGCTTGCACGCCCTGTCTGTCGGTCTGCTTATGCCTGTGCGCTCACAGGGCTGGCCTTTGGCGTCATCTCCTGTGTTGTGCCCGTCTACATCTCCGAGGTGCGTGCCTCTCGGCCCGCCTGGCCGCCCGCCCGCTTGCACGCCCTGTCTGTCGGTCTGCTTATGCCTGTGCGCTCACAGGGCTGGCCTTTGGCGTCATCTCCTGTGTTGTGCCCGTCTACATCTCCGAGGTGCGTGCCTCTCGGCCCGCCTGGCCGCCCGCCCGCTTGCACGCCCTGTCTGTCGGTCTGCTTATGCCTGTGCGCTCACAGGGCTGGCCTTTGGCGTCATCTCCTGTGTTGTGCCCGTCTACATCTCCGAGGTGCGTGCCTCTCGGCCCGCCTGGCCGCCCGCCCGCTTGCACGCCCTGTCTGTCGGTCTGCTTATGCCTGTGCGCTCACAGGGCTGGCCTTTGGCGTCATCTCCTGTGTTGTGCCCGTCTACATCTCCGAGGTGCGTGCCTCTCGGCCCGCCTGGCCGCCCGCCCGCTTGCACGCCCTGTCTGTCGGTCTGCTTATGCCTGTGCGCTCACAGGGCTGGCCTTTGGCGTCATCTCCTGTGTTGTGCCCGTCTACATCTCCGAGGTGCGTGCCTCTCGGCCCGCCTGGCCGCCCGCCCGCTTGCACGCCCTGTCTGTCGGTCTGCTTATGCCTGTGCGCTCACAGGGCTGGCCTTTGGCGTCATCTCCTGTGTTGTGCCCGTCTACATCTCCGAGGTGCGTGCCTCTCGGCCCGCCTGGCCGCCCGCCCGCTTGCACGCCCTGTCTGTCGGTCTGCTTATGCCTGTGCGCTCACAGGGCTGGCCTTTGGCGTCATCTCCTGTGTTGTGCCCGTCTACATCTCCGAGGTGCGTGCCTCTCGGCCCGCCTGGCCGCCCGCCCGCTTGCACGCCCTGTCTGTCGGTCTGCTTATGCCTGTGCGCTCACAGGGCTGGCCTTTGGCGTCATCTCCTGTGTTGTGCCCGTCTACATCTCCGAGGTGCGTGCCTCTCGGCCCGCCTGGCCGCCCGCCCGCTTGCACGCCCTGTCTGTCGGTCTGCTTATGCCTGTGCGCTCACAGGGCTGGCCTTTGGCGTCATCTCCTGTGTTGTGCCCGTCTACATCTCCGAGGTGCGTGCCTCTCGGCCCGCCTGGCCGCCCGCCCGCTTGCACGCCCTGTCTGTCGGTCTGCTTATGCCTGTGCGCTCACAGGGCTGGCCTTTGGCGTCATCTCCTGTGTTGTGCCCGTCTACATCTCCGAGGTGCGTGCCTCTCGGCCCGCCTGGCCGCCCGCCCGCTTGCACGCCCTGTCTGTCGGTCTGCTTATGCCTGTGCGCTCACAGGGCTGGCCTTTGGCGTCATCTCCTGTGTTGTGCCCGTCTACATCTCCGAGGTGCGTGCCTCTCGGCCCGCCTGGCCGCCCGCCCGCTTGCACGCCCTGTCTGTCGGTCTGCTTATGCCTGTGCGCTCACAGGGCTGGCCTTTGGCGTCATCTCCTGTGTTGTGCCCGTCTACATCTCCGAGGTGCGTGCCTCTCGGCCCGCCTGGCCGCCCGCCCGCTTGCACGCCCTGTCTGTCGGTCTGCTTATGCCTGTGCGCTCACAGGGCTGGCCTTTGGCGTCATCTCCTGTGTTGTGCCCGTCTACATCTCCGAGGTGCGTGCCTCTCGGCCCGCCTGGCCGCCCGCCCGCTTGCACGCCCTGTCTGTCGGTCTGCTTATGCCTGTGCGCTCACAGGGCTGGCCTTTGGCGTCATCTCCTGTGTTGTGCCCGTCTACATCTCCGAGGTGCGTGCCTCTCGGCCCGCCTGGCCGCCCGCCCGCTTGCACGCCCTGTCTGTCGGTCTGCTTATGCCTGTGCGCTCACAGGGCTGGCCTTTGGCGTCATCTCCTGTGTTGTGCCCGTCTACATCTCCGAGGTGCGTGCCTCTCGGCCCGCCTGGCCGCCCGCCCGCTTGCACGCCCTGTCTGTCGGTCTGCTTATGCCTGTGCGCTCACAGGGCTGGCCTTTGGCGTCATCTCCTGTGTTGTGCCCGTCTACATCTCCGAGGTGCGTGCCTCTCGGCCCGCCTGGCCGCCCGCCCGCTTGCACGCCCTGTCTGTCGGTCTGCTTATGCCTGTGCGCTCACAGGGCTGGCCTTTGGCGTCATCTCCTGTGTTGTGCCCGTCTACATCTCCGAGGTGCGTGCCTCTCGGCCCGCCTGGCCGCCCGCCCGCTTGCACGCCCTGTCTGTCGGTCTGCTTATGCCTGTGCGCTCACAGGGCTGGCCTTTGGCGTCATCTCCTGTGTTGTGCCCGTCTACATCTCCGAGGTGCGTGCCTCTCGGCCCGCCTGGCCGCCCGCCCGCTTGCACGCCCTGTCTGTCGGTCTGCTTATGCCTGTGCGCTCACAGGGCTGGCCTTTGGCGTCATCTCCTGTGTTGTGCCCGTCTACATCTCCGAGGTGCGTGCCTCTCGGCCCGCCTGGCCGCCCGCCCGCTTGCACGCCCTGTCTGTCGGTCTGCTTATGCCTGTGCGCTCACAGGGCTGGCCTTTGGCGTCATCTCCTGTGTTGTGCCCGTCTACATCTCCGAGGTGCGTGCCTCTCGGCCCGCCTGGCCGCCCGCCCGCTTGCACGCCCTGTCTGTCGGTCTGCTTATGCCTGTGCGCTCACAGGGCTGGCCTTTGGCGTCATCTCCTGTGTTGTGCCCGTCTACATCTCCGAGGTGCGTGCCTCTCGGCCCGCCTGGCCGCCCGCCCGCTTGCACGCCCTGTCTGTCGGTCTGCTTATGCCTGTGCGCTCACAGGGCTGGCCTTTGGCGTCATCTCCTGTGTTGTGCCCGTCTACATCTCCGAGGTGCGTGCCTCTCGGCCCGCCTGGCCGCCCGCCCGCTTGCACGCCCTGTCTGTCGGTCTGCTTATGCCTGTGCGCTCACAGGGCTGGCCTTTGGCGTCATCTCCTGTGTTGTGCCCGTCTACATCTCCGAGGTGCGTGCCTCTCGGCCCGCCTGGCCGCCCGCCCGCTTGCACGCCCTGTCTGTCGGTCTGCTTATGCCTGTGCGCTCACAGGGCTGGCCTTTGGCGTCATCTCCTGTGTTGTGCCCGTCTGCATCTCCGAGGTGCGTGTGCGGTGCCCCCTCCTCTCTGCCTGCCCACCTCTCTGTCCCCCTCTCTGCCCATGGGGCCTTTGGCGTCATCTCCTGTGTCGTGCCCGTCTACATCCTTGAGGTGTGTATGTGCCCGCCTCTCCACACCTTTCCCTGTCGACATCTCAAAAGTAAATTCTTGCCCGTCTCTTTCCCAGTCTGTTCGTCAAATGGCTCACATGCCATAAGCTGCTCTAAGACTGCCTCGTTACTGCCCAGCCCCACTCGCAACCTTCTCCTCCCACCAACTCACGCCTCGACCGCCGCTCTCGCCATGCCCACCGTCCCCCATGCATCAGATAGCGCCAGCATCAGTGCGGGGTCGCCTGGGCTCGTTGAACCAGCTGGCCATCTGTGTCGGCATCCTCGCTGCTCTGCTCGCTGGTCTGCCCCTCGCTGCCAACCCCTCCTGGTGGGTGCCTTGCACCCTGCACGGCTCAATTGTGCCCCCCGCCCCCCCCCCACCCACCCCCCTCCCCCCCCCCCGGTGCTGCATGCTGCATGCTCCAGTGCTCACCAGCATGCCCCTCACCTGGTACACGGCTTGCACTGCAATTTTTAAGGCTATACGCTTTCCAGTTCCGTTTGCCTTTCCACAGAAGCCCTTTTCAGCCTGCTGTCTGAATGTCATCGCACTCTGCTCTGCCTCACCTCCTGCTCTGCCTCACCTCCTGCTCTGCCTCACCTCCTGCTCTACTCACGTCAACTCGCTTGCTGCTCCACCTGTGCTCGCCTTGCCTCCTGTGCTATGCACTGCACCGCTGCAGTACCATCTCCCCCACACCACAACAAACCTTGTCTGTCCCCTCGCGCCCCTCCCTCTGGTCTGTTCGCATCTCTCCACCAATCAGGTGGAGGCAGATGTTTTGGATTGGAGTGGCACCAGCGGTCGCCCTGGCTGCATTCACCGTGCCTCCCCAACAAGTACCTTGATCACTTGGTGTCCCATCCTCTCCTGCCCTTTCCCCGCGCCTCTTAAACCCAATCAGGTGGAGGCAGATATTCTGGATTGGAGTGGCACCAGCGGCCGCCCTGGCTGCGACTTTTAAGTCGACTCAAAAGTCACCACTTTCTGCTCCCCTGCCCCCCCGCCTCTCCGCCAATCAGGTGGCGGCAGATGTTTTGGATTGGAGTGGCACCAGCGGCCGCCCTGGCTGCTGGCATGCTGTGGGCGCCTGAGAGCCCGCGGTGGTTGGCTAAGGTGGGATGAGTTGATGAGTTGGTGGGTGTATGACATGCTGTGCGGTGGGTGCATCGCAAGTTGTGCGATGAAAGCATGTGCCTATGTGTGCCTGCAGGCATGCTGTGGGCGCCCGAGAGCCCTAGATGGCTCGCTAAGGTGGGATGAGTGGGCATGGCATGGATGGTAGCATGCGTTCTTGTTTGCTGCTGGCATGGTGTGGGAACCTTAGAGCTCCAGATGGATCACTAAGGTGGGATGAGTTGGGGGTTTGCATCGTGGTTGGTCAAGGTGATTATGTGTGCATGGTGGTGGCTGGGAGTGTAGGTGGTGTGGGATGGGATGTATTCATGTGTTCTGCAGGCATGCTGTGGGCACCTGAGAGCTCCAGATGGCTCGCGAAGGTGGGTTGAGTGGGCATGGCATGGAGTGGGATGGGTTCACGGCATGGCGTGGGGTGGTAACAGAGTATGTGTTCATGTGTGCTGCTGGCATGCTGTCGGCGCCTGAGAGCCCCTGATAGTTGGCTAAGGTGCGATGAGTGGGCATGCCATGTTGTGCGGTGGAAGAATGGCAAGTTGTGTGGTGAAAGCATTTGCCTATGTGTGCTGCAGGCATGCTGTGGGCGCCTCAGAGGTCGAGAGCCCCAGATGGCCTTTCCTCTGCCCCTTCTTCCCTACATTGCCCCCCACCTTTCTCCCCTGCCTGTTGCCCCCCCAGGTGGGCAGGATTGACGAGGCCGAGAGGCAGCTAAAGCGCCTGCTGGGTCCCTCCCAGGCTGCTGCTGCTGCAGCGGAGCTCTCCTCCTCCTCGCCTCAACCTGTTGCCTCCGCCAAGGGAGCAGCAGGTGCAGCGGTGGATGGGTTGGCGGAGGCAGAGGCAGGTGTTGCGAGGAAACGGGCAGACGAAGCACCTGCCGCATCGTTATTCACCCTCTTTTCGAAGCGCTACCGCAAAGGTACTGTTGCAGTTGATTAATAGGCAGTTTCTAAATCTCAACAGGTACGGCCACAACAACATTCCACTGCCATCCCAAGCCCAGCCACCGCTCACCACCGCTCCCAACCCTTCATTTCCTTCGCCACTCTTCTTTCCCTTCCCAACCCTTCACTCCGTTCCCACCCCTTCTCCATCCCTGCGGGTCCAATGATGCTCCTTCCGTGCCTCTCTCATTGCACAGTCGCACTATCCGCCATGACCTCCTCCGTTTCTTTCCCCCACCCTCCTGTTCCTCCTCCCTTCTGACATTCCCCCAGTGGTGCTGCTGGCCATGGCGCTGTTCGCAGTGCAGCAGTTTGCGGGCATCAACGCCATCATCTACTATTCCTTTACCCAGTCCCCTCCCCACGCCCTCCCCCTCCCCACAACCCCCCGTCTCCACCATCTCGCCCTCCTCCCCTTCCCCTTGCTTCCACTTTCCCCCCCCAGTGGTGCTGCTGGCCATGGCGCTATTCGCAGTGCAGCAGTTCGCCGGCATTAATGCCATCATCTACTACTCCTCCCGGTCCCCTTCCCACCCTATTTCTTCCTCCCCGGTTCCTCCATCAACCCCCGTTCAACCCCGTTTGCCCCGTTCCCTCTACCGCCCCATCCCCAACCCCAACCCCCTCCCAGTGGTGCTGCTGGGCATGGCGCTGTTCGCAGTGCAGCAGTTCGCGGGCATCAACGCCATCATCTACTACTCCTCCTCTGTCTTCCGCTCCGCCGGCGTTCAATCCGACGTCGCTGCCAGTGCCCTTGTGGGCCTCGCCAACGTGCTAGGTACAGGGCTGAGGTTCAGGTGTGTTTTGAGTCGACTCAAAACACACGACGTACAGGGCTGAGCTTCAGTGGAATGTTGACATGCCTGGTGGTGCATGGCGCATCACACATAGTGCATCGAGCATGGGGCATGGCACATAGCACATGGCAGAGTGAGCAGCACCATGGTGTGGCACTGCCGGCATCCAGTCAGACGTTGCTGCCAGTCTCCTCGTGGGCCTTGCTGACGTGCTAGGTACAGGCGAATACCATGCAAGGTAAGGTGCTGATATGGCGTGCTAGGTGTGCTGAGATAGCGTGCTAGGTTCAGGGCCAAACACCTGTCTGGGTGTGCTTCTCACTATGCAGCTGCTCCGCGCATGCAACTGGCTGTGCTTGTCTCGCCCTGCCCCCAGCCTTGTGCTCGCTGCCGCACATGGCAGCGCTGTCTCCTGTCGTGTGCACCCACGTGGTTGCCATTTTATCACTCCATCCTTTTTTTCCTCTCTCGCGCTGCATCCTTTCTTCCATCCGTGCCACCCACCAAGCAGGCACGGCAGTCTCACTCAACCTGGTGGACCGTCAGGGCCGCAAGAGCCTGCTCATGGGGTCCTTTACCGGCATGGTAGGGCGCTGTGGTGGGTGGTGGGACATGGTAGGGCGCGGTGTTGGTTGGTGGGGCATGGTAGGGCGGTGTGATGGGTGGTATGGTATGGTGTTGGGGCATGGTGATATGCATGTATGATGGTATGCAGAAATGCATGGCACCTTGATCTTGCATGATTGTTGCATCTCTGGCTCACATTGCATGTCATTTCAATGCAACGATTTTTGACGCGCCTCAAAAGCTGGCTGGCTGGCATTGCATCACATGTCAATGCTCACTCTCTATCAAATGCTGCTGCTGTTTTCTCGCCAAATTCATCCCAATGCTTACATGGCTCATCCCAATGCTTACATTGCTCATCCCAATGCTTACATTGCTCATCCCAATGCTTACATTGCTCATCCCAATGCTTACATTGCTCATCCCAATGCTTACATTGCTCATCCCAATGCTTACATTGCTCATCCCAATGCTTACATTGCTCATCCCAATGCTTACATTGCTCATCCCAATGCTTACATTGCTCATCCCAATGCTTACATTGCTCATCCCTTCCTATCTCCCATTGCCTACTTCCCCATCTCACCTGGGCAATCCTGTTCATCAGATTGGCCCTCGCCCTCTCATTTCCACATCTCCTTCCCTCCTCTCCTTTCCACCTCTCCAGCCCATAGCAGCCCATCTCTATGTCATCACCACCATTGCCTACGTCCTCTCCTTGGTCAATCCACTCAACCCTGCTCCCTTCCTTTCTCGCATTTCCCACTCCTGTCTCAACACCCCCCAACCCTCTCCCAAACCCCCCATCCCACCAGGATTGCTCCATGCTCGTCCTTGCGCTCACCCTCTCTGTCCCACCGCTGCAGCCCATAGCAGCCCCACTCTCCCTCCTCGGCACCATTGCCTATGTGCTCTCCTTTGCCATGGGAGCCGGACCCGTGCCCGCGGTGCTCTCCTGTTGTTAAAAAACCATTCATCCATATCCCCCGTCCTGCTCTCACATTCCTCGTCTTCCCCTTCCCCATTTCCCATCCCCCCACCTCCCATCCCTCAGGGCTGTTCGATGCTGCTTCTAGCCCTCACGCTCTCCTTCCCGCCACTCCAGCCCGTAGCAGCGCCGCTCTCTGTGTTGGGAACAGTCGCCTACGTTCTCTCCTTTGCCATGGGAGCCGGACCCGTGCCGGCCCTACTCCTCCCCGAGATCTTCCCCTCCAACATCCGCGCCTCTGCTGTGGCAGCAGCGCTCACCACGCACTGGCTCTGCAACTTCGTTATAGGCCTCTCCTTTTTAGGGTTTGTGAAGGTGGTGGGTGTGGCGGCAGCGTATGTGGGGTTTGCGGCGGTGTGCTTTGTCGGGGTGGTGTTTGTGCGCGCGTGTGTGGTGGAGACCAAGGGGCGGAGCTTGGAGGAGATTGAGCGGGAGCTTATTGGTAGTGACGCTTAGAGATGCATGTAATTCGTAAAGCTTGTGTGGGCATGTGGTGGTGGAGGCCAATGGGTGATGTTTCGAGCCGTACTGTGATTGCTTGATTGCTGGTGCCGACTGATCAAGGTGCTGAGGTGCCCTGTCATGTCAAGGCTTGTCGGTGCTGGAAAGAAAGCCCTGATTTGGAGGAAATTGAGAGGGAGTGTGTTATTATGTTGTTTTTTTGTTTTTTTTTTTCTCAGCTATTTAAATCGTCTTTTTATTGGACAAGGTCCCTGAGGCGTCGTCCATAACCCTACAATTAATCAACTTATAGACCATCCTTCAAGTTTCATAAGATCTGCAAATTCTTATTCAGCTGTTATTCCTATCGGAGTAAGAAATCATAATTCCTTACTGTAGTCAGACTTTTTCGGCTATGTGCCGAGCGGCTCGCGTCAGCTGGTTCGGCCTACAATCTCGGACCGAACCACTTCCGAGTCGCCCTCCGCACCTTTCCCCAAACATCCGAGCCTCGTTGAGCCCGAGCTTCACGCCTAGCTCGAACCTGCCTTTATAAATGAGGCCTCGTAGGTCTCCCATTCAGTAGTCTTCAGTTGTATTCTGTAGTTTTCGCTTCGAGTGCATTTCAGTTAGGTTGTGAAATCCGCGCACTCATAACAACCAGTTGTACCGAGTATGTCTCTGCCGCATTGTCTCTCATGCTGATCCCATCCCATGGTTCATCTCCTCGCTCCTCTCAAATTTGCCCCGCTCTACGCGCGCACATCCCGTTCTCTCGCGCGCGCTGCTGCTACTTTTCGCCGACGTGTCACATCTCTCCGCGCTACGCTCCATTCCTCTCCACCCCTCCCACATCCTTTCCTCGCTTCCGCAACCGTGCGGCCGTTCCTTGCACCTTTTTTCTCGTGCTCCCTCCTCCACCCCGCGCGCCTTATATTACGTACTCTGCCATGACTGCGCGATCGAAGCTCGGCGCGCTGTGCCGTCCACTACTGGCAAGCGCGTCGCCTCGCCTGCCGCCCACAAGTGCCTCCGGGGCGCCGACTCTTAGCGGCGCCGTTGTAGGCGCGGTTAGTGAATCCACGTATAACGGCCGACCTTATAGCGGGGATGGCTGCGACACACCCGCACATGCGGCGGCACAGCCGCACCAATTGGTTGAGAAAAATGAGACCACCCCTCTTAGATACCACCACCGCGCCTCCCACTCCCTCTCCCATCACCAGCACCACCCCCACCACTCCCACCAGCAACAGCAACGAAGGGGTCTGGCGGCCGGACCATCTAGAGTCAACCTAGCAGCCGCGCCGTCCGCCGTTGCGCGGGCAGCGGAGCCGTCTAATTTCAACGTGCTGGAAGGGGCGGCGGAGAGTAGCGGACGCGTGTTTATCACCGCGTGAGTGCCTCTCCCCCCGCGCTCCTCTTCTCTGCACCCTCCCTCGCTCTGTTCCCCGCTCTCTCCCCATCTCGCTCTCCCCCATCTAGCTCATTGCTGAGACTTTCTGGTACGTGTTCATCCTCGCGTGAGTGACGCTTCCCCACCCCTTCCATTCCCTTCCCTCCCTCCCTCCCTCTCTCCCTCCCTCCCTCCCTCCCTCCCTCACTCATTCCGTGCCATGCCATGCCATGCCATGCCGTGCCATTCCGTGCCATGCCATGCCATGCCATTCCGTGCCATGCCGTGCCGTGCCGTGCCATGCCGTGCCGTGCCGTGCTGTGCCGTGCCGTGCCGTGCCGTGCCGTGCAAGTCTGACCAAGCCCGGCATCTCTTTCCATGCATGCACCCGCTGCTCCCTTCCCCTCTCTCAGGTACAACAACAAGGGATTCAACAAGGGTGGGCGGCACGTGGACTCGACTTGTGGCTCATGCTGATCTTATTCCTTTATGCTACCTCTCCATGCCCCCTCTGTATTGCACCCACTGCACCCCCACACTCCCCTTTCGCAGGTATGACAATAAGGGCTTCACGGTGGGCGGCAGGGACTTGGACTGGCCTTGTGGCTCACACATATCGTGTCCTTCCATGCGCCCATTGCACCCACTGCATCCCCTGCACCCACTGCGCCCATTGTACCCACTGCGCCCATTGCACCCACTGCGCCCATTGCACCCACTGCGCCCATTGCACCCACTGCATCCCCTGCACCCACTGCGCCCATTGCACCCACTGCATCCCCTGCACCCACTGCGCCCATTGTACCCATTGCCCACGCCCGCTGCAGGTACGACGACAAGGGCTTCACGGTGGGCGGCAGGGACCTGGACTCCTCCATCCTCTGTGTGGGTGACGTGGCGCTCTGCTGGTCGCCCTCCTGCCTCGCTGACGTCACACCCGACAGGTGAGGGGAGAGGGGCGAGTGCGAAGAGAGGGGGGGGGTTAGATGGGTGAGGGGGGTGAGGGGGATGGGAGGGGGGAGAGGGGTGAGGGGTGAGGGTGAGGGTTAAGGGAGGAGAGGGGTGTGGTTGCGGTTGTAACTGCAGAGCTGTCACGGCTGCTGGTGCTGGTCAATCTTCCATTCCATGGCACTCCTTCTTCCCTTCATACGTTTGCTGCACTCATGACGTCTCGGCACATGGCAGGTCTGCCTTCCTTTCTGCGTCCTCCTCCATCCTCTCGCGTCGCGCCACTCGCCTCTCTCTTCCTCGCATGCCCTTACCGCCTCCGTCCTCCTCTTTCTCTGCCACCCCGCCACAATGTGTTTTGGCCCTCCTCACCCCCTCGCTTCACTCGTCTCCATCCGTCCCTCCCTGCCCTGCCACCACCTCTTTGTCATACGCCAAACAACATGCGAGCTCTCTACCCAAGCCAAACCAAGCAACCTGCGTGGTCTCCGCTTAAGCCTTCTGTCCATTTTCCCCATTTTCCTGTGGCTTATCTGTGGGTCCCGCCATTTCTCCCCAATTTCCCACCCGGGCTTGCAGTTTAGCCTTTACCTGCCACCCTCTCTCCCGTACTCTCTCCTTACCTCGACCTCACTCCCTGCCCCTGCCTAACCCCTCTTCATCCGCTCCACTCCCGTCGTCTTTTTTTACCCCCTTGTCACCCCTGCCTGTCCCTTCCACACAGCCTGGCTCTCTTTCAGCTCATTCGCCCGCAACCAGGTATGCTCTTTTGAATGCCAGGCTGCTGTGAATGCTCTGTGCTGCCTGCGACGTTGCTCGTTTGGATTGCTCTTGAAGAGGGCGTGCTGAGTGTGTGGTGTGTTGTGAATGCTGTGCTGCTGCCGTGTAGGGCATGCCATGTCTGAGCTTCAAAAGGTGAGGCATGGCATGGCATGGCATGGCATGGGAGGCATGGCATGGCATGGCATGGGAGGCATGGCATGAGAGGCATGGCATGAGAGGCATGGCATGGGCATGGGCATGGGCATGGCATGGGCATGGGCATGGGCATTGCATGGCATGGAATGGGCAAGACAGAGAAAGCAACCATTTCCTCCCTTCCCCTCTTCTCCCTTCAAAAAGCGTCTTCCCCGCCCGCCTCCTGTTCCCCACTACCACCCGTCTTGCACAGAGCTACTGCTGCTGGGCACGGGGCAGCGCATGCAGGCAGTGCCGGGGCAGCTGAGGGAGTTTGTGAGGGCGTGTGGCATGAAGCTTGAAGTGCTCTCTACTGTGAGTGCAGCGAGCCCCATCAGTACTGTACTGTGAGCATCATGGAAGTTCACTTGCAGTACAGCTGGTAGTGCTGGTAGTGCTGGTAGTGCTGGTAGTGCTGGTAGTGCTGGTAGTGCTGGTAGTGCTGGTAGTGCTGGTAGTGCTGGTAGTGCTGGTAGTGCTGGTAGTGCTGGTATGTTTTGAGTCGACTCAAAACACATCATCAAGTTCACTCAAAACGCATTTGCGGTACAGCAGCCAAGTGGTAGTGCTGGTTGCATTAAGACTACTGCTCGTAGTGCTGCCATGAAGCTCGAAGTGCTCTCCACTGTGAGTGCCTCTGCTACTGATAGGAACGCTGGTGGTGCTAGTGGGTTTGGGCTTGTGGCATGAGGTTGGATGGATGGGGGATGATCCCTTATACACCAACGAATCCTCAATTATTGACCCAAGTCTTACATATCTAACAACATCAATGCAACTCTTCATCTCCTTTCACCGCACAGCACCATTCCTATCACTGCCCAGAACCACTCCCATCACTGCACAGCACCACTCCTATCACCGCACAGCACCACTCCAATCACTTCCCTAATCCCCTGACCCCTCCGCCCATCATTTCTGCACCATGCCATTCCCCCCATCATTTCTGCACCATGCCATTCCCCCATCTTTTCCTGCACCATGCCATTCCCCCCATCATTTCTGCACCATGCCATTCCCCCCATCATTTCTGCACCATGCCATTCCCCCCATCATTTCTGCACCATGCCATTCCCCCCATCATTTCCTGCACCATTCCATTCCCCCCATCATTTCTGCACCATGCCATTCCCCCCATCATTTCTGCACCATGCCATTCCCCCCATCATTTCTGCACCATCCCATTCCCCCCATCATTTCTGCACCATGCCATTCCCCCCATCATTTCTGCACCATGCCATTCCCCCCATCATTTCTGCACCATGCCATTCCCCCCATCATTTCTGTACCATGTCATTCTCCCCATCAGTTCCTGCACCATGCCATTCCCCCCATCATTTCTGTACCATGTCATTCTCCCCATCAGTTCCTGCACCATACCATTCCCCCCATCATTTCTGCACCATGCCATTCCCCCCATCATTTCTGCACCATGCCATTCCCCCCATCATTTCTGCACCATGCCATTCCCCCCATCATTTCTGCACCATGCCATTCCCCCCATCATTTCTGCACCATGCCATTCCCCCCATCATTTCTGCACCATGCCATTCCCCCCATCAATTCTGCACCATGCCATTCCCCCCATCATTTCTGCACCATGCCATTCCCCCCATCATTTCTTCACCATGCCAATCCCCCATCATTTCTGCACCATGCCATTCCCCCCCTCATTTCTGCACCATGCCATTCCCCCCATCATTTCTGCACCATGCCATTCCCCCCATCATTTCTGCACCATTCCATTCCCCCCATCATTTCTGCACCATGCCATTCCCCCCATCATTTCTGCACCATGCCATTCCCCCCATCATCTCTGCACCATGCCATTCCCCCCATCATTTCTGCACCATGCTTCCCCCCATCATTTCTGCACCATGCCATTCCCCCCATCATTTCTGCACCATGCCATTCCCCCCTTTATTTCTGCACCATGCCAATCCCCCCATCATTTCTGCACCATGCCATTCCCCCCATCATTTCTGCACCATGCCATTCCCCCCATCATTTCTGCACCATGCCATTCCCCCCATCATTTCTGCACCATGCCATTCCCCCCATCATTTCCTGCACCATGCCATTCCCCCCATCATTTCCTGCACCATGCCATTCCCCCCATCGTTTCTGCACCATGCCATTCCCCCCATCATTTCCTGCACCATACCATTCCCCCCATCATTTCTGCACCATGCCATTCCCCCCATCATTTCTGCACCATGCCATTCCCCCCATCATTTCTGCACCATGCCATTCCCCCCATCATTTCTGCACCATGCCATTCCCCCCATCATTTCTGCAACATGCCATTCCCCCCATCATTTCTGCACCATGCCATTCCCCCCATCATTTCTGCACCATGCCATTCCCCCCATCATTTCTGCACCATGCCATTCCCCCCATCATTTCTGCACCATGCCATTCCCCCCATCATTTCTGCACCATACCATTCCCCCCATCATTTCTGCACCATGCCATTCCCCCCATCATTTCTGCACCATGCCATTCCCCCCATCATTTCTGCACCATGCCAATCCCCCCATCATTTCTGCACCATGCCATTCCCCCCATCATTTCTGCACCATGCCATTCCCCCCATCATTTCTGCACCATGCCATTCCCCCCATCATTTCTGCACCATGCCATTCCCCCCATCATTTCCTGCACCATGCCATTCCCCCCATCATTTCCTGCACCATGCCATTCCCCCCATCATTTCTGCACCATGCCATTCCCCCCATCATTTCCTGCACCATACCATTCCCCCCATCATTTCTGCACCATGCCATTCCCCCCATCATTTCTGCACCATGCCATTCCCCCCATCATTTCTGCACCATGCCATTCCCCCCATCATTTCTGCACCATGCCATTCCCCCCATCATTTCTGCAACATGCCATTCCCCCCATCATTTCTGCACCATGCCATTCCCCCCATCATTTCTGCACCATGCCATTCCCCCCATCATTTCTGCACCATGCCATTCCCCCCATCATTTCTGCACCATGCCATTCCCCCCATCATTTCTGCACCATACCATTCCCCCCATCATTTCTGCACCATGCCATTCCCCCCATCATTTCTGCACCATTCCATTCCCCCCATCATTTTTGCACCATGCCATTCCCCCCATCATTTCTGCACCATGCCATTCCCCCCATCATATCTGCACCATGCCATTCCCCCCATCATTTCTGCACCACGCCAATTCCCCCATCATTTCTGCACCACGCCATAGCGACGCTCAACGCGCACAACGTGGATGGCCATCCGTGCCAATCCCGCACCTCCACCTCTTTCCGTCCTCCCGTCCCACCTTCTCCCTCCTCCTCCCCACCCAACCAGCCAAATGCCATAGTGATGCTGAACGTTTTCAATGAGGATGTATAGCCCTTCATGTCTCTCCTGCCCATGCCATATCCACACGTCGATCTCTTTCCTACCTCCTGTCCCTCCCGCCATTCCTTGCCCCCACCCCCCACCAGCGCCACCCCATAGCGATGCTGAACGTTTTCAACGAGGAGGGCCGTGGCATAGCCACACAGCTACCCCTGTCCTCCTTCATATCCGCCCCCTTCCCTTCCCCTTATCCCCCCACCAGCGCCATGCCATATCCACACCCAAACAAGTGGGGACATGCCGTAGCCACGCACACATCTATCCTCCGTCATTCCCTTCTTCCCCTCCTCCCCCATCACCCCACCAGCGCCATGCCATATCCACACTCAACGTGCTCAACGAGGAGGGTCGGTCCGTTGCTGCTGCGCTGCTGCTGCCCTCCGCCTGACGCGCTCGTCTCCTCCTCGCTTCATCCCTCTCTGCACTGCAGGCACACCCAATTGTGTGCTATCATCATGCATTCTGCCTGCATTACGATGATGGATGTGCATGGATGTGAAGTATCTATCTGCATTTCATATTTGAGCTGTCATGATGCCGACGTTTACGTGGTAGATTGTATGACCAGCTGGGTGGGCTTCGTTCTCTACAGTTACTGTACAATAATCGGTAAAATTTATGGAAGCTAAAACATCAGACATGCATGAAACAAAATTGAATGAAACAGTGTAGTACTCATGACCTAGATACGGTATCATGACTCGTGCGGTTACACTTATGCTACCTCGTCCAATACATGCCATCGTCATGCTCTATTGGCAAGAATGCAAATTGCCCAAACATGGAGGCAAATACTAGAAGCATCCCTTCTACTTGTTGGGCTGAGATAGCCCCTTAGGATCTTTGCAAGGGATAACTCTAGGTGAAGTAGTTGTAATAGCGGAAGCGTTTAGTGAAGAATTTGAACCGACCTTGCACTGGTGTGTGAGAGCAAAGTTGATTGAATTAAACAAGCAAATACAAGGATTTATATAAGAGTACAGAGAATAGATAGATAACTGTATTGCTGTTGCGGTTCGATATAGCGCGACTCGGGCAACTGCTCTGTAACGAGTCAGTTGTGTGTCCTTAACTGTCGCGCTGTAATTGTCGAGTCAAAGGTCAGCGACCTTTGACTTTCTCGTAACCTCCAGGCGGTTACCCTAACCTCCGAGGTTGACTCGATGCTTCGATTGGGACTGCTTCGCTTGGTACCTTGGATTTTGATACGACAGAAGCGTACTTAGGACTTATTGTTTCCAACACTCCCCTTCGCTTCTGGAGTGTTACTGCTGGTGACGTGGCCTTGTCCAGTCAGCATCATGCAGTATTCGAACTTCTGCTTGCCGAGTTTCTTGGTCAAGTAATCGGCTGCCATCTCGGATGTTGGACAGTATGACAGATCGAGTTTCCCTTTTTCTATCTCGTCCTTCACGAAGAAATAGCGCAGGGCGATGTGTTTCGTCCTGTTTGCGAAGCCGTTTTTGTTGGCGATGCGAATTGCTGACTGGTTGTCGCAGAACACGGTGAAGCTGGGTAACTCGGCTAGCTTCGCTTCTTCCAGTAGTTCGCGAAGGTAAAGTCCCTCCTTGGTGGCTGAGCAGAGTGCAATATATTCTGCTTCTGCTGAAGATAGTGCGATTAACTCTTGCTTGCTCGACTGCCAGGAGATAGGACCGATAGGCTCAAGGCGGTAGACATAGCCGGTGCGTGAGCGCCTGTTGTCGGTGTCGCCGGCGTGATCGGCGTCGACGTAGCCGATTAGCTTAGTCGGTGTAGCTGCGCTCTTGTGGTAGGTTAGCCCGATCGTCGCGGTGCTGACGAAGTAGTGGAGAGCGCGATCAAGTTCCGCCAGGTGTTCAGCTTCAGGCTTCTTGAGATAGGTGGCGAGCTGACTTGCGGAGTAGGATAAGTCAGGACGGTAGGTGACGGCGGCGAATAGCAGGCATCCGAGCTTCTTCTGATAGTCGCGTATGCCGGCGGGCTTGAGTAGAGTAGTTCGTTCCTTCTCGGTTCCTGATGTGTAGCGGTAAGGCGTGGAGATGGCGCTTGGTGTGAGGCTGAACCGTTTCGCGATGGTGTCGGCGTATTTCTCGGCGCTTAGATAGATGGCGTTTTCTTCTTCGCGGATGTTGAGCCCGAGGTACTGTGTAACGGTGGAGGAGACCGTGAGCGTGAGGTCTTTCTGGAGCTCTTCTTCGAACCACGTGGCGATGCCGTCGGTTGACCCAATGTAGAGAAGATCGTCCACGTAGACGATCAGGAGAACGTAGTCGCTTCCCTTAGTGAGGCGGTACATGCCTTGGTCGTGAGGTAGTTGACTAAAGCCGATGCGGATGAGACGGGCGTGCAGGTACTGCTGCCACAGTCACGGTGCCTGCTTGATCCCGTAGAGCGACTTAAGTAGTTGACAGATTCGGTTGGGTTCGCCGTGGGAACCGTGCGGGAGCTCGACGTAGATTTCTGCATCCACAGGTGCGTAGAGGAAGGCATTCGCGACGTCGATCTGCCGTAACTTCTTCTTCTTCATGGCGGCAATGGTGAGGAGAATTCGGACTGACGTGTGGCGGCTGACTGGAGCAAAGGTCTCGGTGAAGTCTCGTCCTTGCTCTTGGTCGAATCCACGTACGACCCAGCGTGCTTTGAATTTTTCGATCGTGCCGTCTGCTTTCGTCTTGATGCGGAAGACCCATTTCCCGGTAAGGATGGTTTTGTTCCGTGCCACGCTTACGGGAACAACCTTCCAAGTGTTGCGTTCCTCTAATGCCTTCAGTTCTCTATCCATGGCTTCACGCCATTTCTCCCTGTGTTCCCCCCCCAGAGCCTGCTGAACCGTTGCAGGCTCCTTAGGAAGCGAGCTGCGTGTGTTCCCGTGGACTGCGGTGACGAGGCCGAGGATTTGCAGCCCAGTCTGTGAGTATCGAGGGAGTTCTGGATCCTCGGGATAAGCTGCTTCGTCTCCCGCTTCTGGATCAGGGATGAAATTCGGTCCTATCCTTTCTGCTTCATTTGTGTTGACGGTTGCAGGTGTTACGTAACCGGTGTCGGCGAAGTGGTAGAAGACTTCGGCGTTGTTACTGTCGCGAGGATTTTCTTCGTCCATGGGCACGTTGACGGAGCAGTACGGGAGAGGTCCGGCTTCTGCCGATGCGTTGTCAACATTCTGCTCGTCCCAGTCTACTTCATCCGCTGCTGACGCGAAGGCTCGGTCACCACGAAAACCACTGGTGAGGTCCCGATTCTCGTGCAAGTTGGCGAGGTACGTCTGAAGGGTGAGTCTTTCGTAGAAGATCACGTCACGTGCTGCTACTGTTTCCTTTGTGTGGACGTCGAAGATTCTCCATGCGTTGTAATTTTTCTCGATGCCGAGGTGTAGTCCCCACTGTGCCCGTTGCGAAAATCTTCCCGCTCGTGCTTCTGGGGGTCTGTACTGTACCATGCACCCGAAAACTCGTAACATTTTCGTGCTGCCCTGCTTCCCTGTCCACAGCAGATGCGGTGATGCGTTGTTCGGGAGTGACGACGACGACAACAAGTTGTGCAGCATGACAGCGTGGTCCATTGCTGCTGGCCACTGGTGGTTGGGTAGCCGCATGCCACGTAACAGTTTGCGCATGCTGTTCTGCAGGGTCCTGTTCAGTCGTTCTGCAACACCTTGCTGCTGATGTGCGTAGGGAAGGGAGAGGAGTTGCTTGATCCCCCTTTCCGCCAAGAACTGCTTGAAGCGGTGAGAGGTGTACTCGCCACCTCCGTCTGACTGGAAATTTTTCAGTTGTGTTCCAGACTCTCTCTCTGCTATCGGTAGCCAGGCGGCGAATGCTGCGAGCGCCATGTCGCGGCTGGGTAGGTTGCGATGCCAGACGTATCGAGTGGCGGCGTCGATGAAGGTGATGGTGTAGTTGTAGTTGACTTGTCCTGGTTCGCGATTGTAGAGGATGTCGCTGTAGACTTTTTCGAGTGGTGCGTACGCTGGAGCGCTCGGGTTGTGATGTGAAGCAAACGGTCGATGAGGTAAGTCAGCTTCGGGACATATAAGGCAAGTCCCTCGTGCCTTCTGGAGTTCTCTGCCATCGGGTAGAAGTAGAGAGTCTTTGTCGAGGACTCCTGCTCTTATCGTGTTATTCAAAACCGTGTTGCTTGGATGTCCTGTGCGTGCGTGCCAGATCTCTTCAGAGGCGCGGTGTCCAGGTGAACGCTGATATGCGTCGGAGTTGGAGTAAAAGCTGGCGACGAGGTTGGCGCTTCGGTGGACTTCACGTTGAGTCGGATTCAGGTGTTGCGCGGGTGTTGGTGGTGCTTCGTCGACTGTGACTGGTGTCGTTGTTTCTGCTGCTGCTGATGTTGTTGCTGCTGCCGATGTTGTTACTGCTGCCGATGTTGTTGCTGCTGATGCCGATTGTCGAATTGTTGCTAATGCTCGTGTTCGTTCTGCTTCAGGAATGGTGTGCGAGTACCAGAAGCCTCCCGGGCTGAAGTCGGGGTCGAGATCCGGAGGGTGTGTCCAGTCAGTGAAATTCACGATGGCGTCGCTGTCTGCAGTGCCGAGGTCAGGAACGAAGTCGAGGACGAAGACGTTGTTCTTCAGCACTGCTTTTCCGATGTAGAGACCGCCTCTCCCGTGGTAAAGCTTGAACTCCTGGGTCGTGCTGTCAGCTTCCAGATGAATTCCTTTCGCCATCAACTGGCTAACGCTCAGTAAGTTGTAGCCGAGTCCTTCAGCGATGAGTACCTTAGACATGTGCAGTATGACATTTGTTTCTCTTGACTGAAGCTGTACCACTCCTTGTCTTCGTGTGCGCAGGTTTTGGTTGTTGGCAACCGTGATGATCACTTCCCGTTGGAGTCGATGTTCGCGTTGTACGAAACGCCCGGACGAGCACATGTGTTGCCCGCAGCAACTGTCCAAGAACCAGGTGTCTTGGCCGGACGGTTCACTTTGAGCGATGGCGGCGTACGTTGGATTCGGCTGGAGTAGTTCACGGCGAGGCGTTCTGTTGTCAAGCTCTTCTTCCGGTGAGTAGTGTGGTGGTGATTCGGTTGTACACGAATCGGTTATCTTCGTCATGCAGTTGATTATATTTCTTGCTCCTTGTGCAGGTTGTCCGGGTGAAGTCGTTGAAGCTTGAATAGTGGTTGTCGCACTTGCTTGTGTTGAAGCCATTTGGGAGCTTGAAGGTCGAAGTTGTCGCTGTGGTGCCGTTGATTGCTGACGATTCGGGCAGTGTGTGCGCGGGTGCCCTGAAGTCTTGCAGATGTGGCAGAAGGGAGGTACTATCTTCGGTTGCTGCTGTCGGTTGTTATAATTGCTGTGTCGTCGTTGAGTGTGGAATGCGAACTCTGATACTGTCGTTTTCTTCCTGTGTCGTTCTTCCTGCAGGTCCATATCTTGCTGCTCGGCATGTATTTCGGCGCAGAGTGCAGCTTCAGAGATTCTTCCGTGGGCTCGAAGAATGGCTTTGGTGGCGCGCCACTGAGGACCAAGCCCACCAATGATGACTGTCACGAAGGCGTCTTCAGAGATTGACCCTCCGCATCGAAGCAGCTTGTCGCGCAGTTCGCGACATCGGCTGATATACGCCAGTCCTTTTTCTCCTGGTTTCATTTCGACTGTCGTCAACTGCGCCATTAACCTGCTCTGGTTTACACTGTCTGTTGCTTGATACAGGTTCTTCAGATGGCTGTACGCGAGCTCCGCCGAGTTGCCGAAGGTCCGGTAAGAGCGAATGTTCTGCTGCTGAGTTGGTGTCACGTTCCTCAATAGGATTGTATACGCCATCATTGATTGATACGTATACTGCTGCTTTTCATATTGTGTCCCGTTGGCTGGATACTACAAGGACCCGTCGAAGAAGCCGAGTATCTGCGCGCCCTCCATCATCAGCTCGAATTCAAAGGACCAGGTAAAGAAGTCTTTGCCGTCGAAGGGTCTTGACGTTTACAGTTTTAAGACGTGTGCAAACTGCGACTGAACTTGAAGTGCGTCCAGTGGTCTTTCTTGTCCAGGTGAAGGTTGCGGGTGGGGCACGAAGCTGATTGACCCGCGCTCGTACGGAGCAAAGGTAGGTTGCTGCTGCTGGTTTCCTCGCGCATATGACGACCCATCAAGACTCATGGGTGTCGCTCCGTTGTTGCTGTTGTGTGTTTGTGCAGGTCCCGACTGCTGGTGTTGTTCGTAGAAGGACATGAAGGAGAAAAATTTCTCCATCATGTTCTGGTCAAAGTCCGAAGGGTGGTTCATGGGGGTCTCGGTTGACGTTCCTCTTGGTCTTGTTGCCGTGCCTTCTTCTGTCTGCAGGCCAGAGGCTGGCGGTGGAGTAGGAGTAGTGCCCGAGGAGCCATTAGGGGAGCTCCTTTCCTTGTTTGTTGCCATGTCTTGTAATGATCTTGAAAAAAAAAAGAGTAGAGTTTCCCTTGTCCGCTCTCATACCATGTTGGGCTGAGATAGCCCCTTAGGATCTTTGCAAGGGATAACTCTAGGTGAAGTAGTTGTAATAGCGGAAGCGTTTAGTGAAGAATTTGAACCGACCTTGCACTGGTGTGTGAGAGCAAAGTTGATTGAATTAAACAAGCAAATACAAGGATTTATATAAGAGTACAGAGAATAGATAGATAACTGTATTGCTGTTGCGGTTCGATATAGCGCGACTCGGGCAACTGCTCTGTAACGAGTCAGTTGTGTGTCCTTAACTGTCGCGCTGTAATTGTCGAGTCAAAGGTCAGCGACCTTTGACTTTCTCGTAACCTCCAGGCGGTTACCCTAACCTCCGAGGTTGACTCGATGCTTCGATTGGGACTGCTTCGCTTGGTACCTTGGATTTTGATACGACAGAAGCGTACTTAGGACTTATTGTTTCCAACACTACTGACACTGCAGCACATGAACCTGGTCCTCCCCAGCACAGTACCCCTCCACCAGCCTCCTGTTCACACTGTGCATCTTCTCCCTCACTTTCTTGGCCCGCATCTCCCACACTTCTTCATCCCACACCCCACTCTTCTCCCTCCTCACATGCTCCACCGGCCCATTGCTCACCGTCTTGCCTCTCCTCTCCCAATAGAAGGAGCGGTCCACCACACAGTAGAGAGCCAGGGCGGGGTAGTCCTGCCGCAGTGCAGCCAGTGCGGGCGCATTACACGCCTTGCGGGTGGGAAAGAAGAGGAACCGCAGATTCGGAGCGCGGATGGATGGCGGCTTTGGGAAGGCCTTCATCAACCGCTCCCGATCCTTAATCTTGGCTGTTATTTCTGGACCATACATTGCCCAAAACAGCCGGTCATCATCGTAACAACCAAAGTCACCAACACCATCATCGTCATCATCATCCTCATCGTCATCATCCTCAGCCTCATCGTCATCACCATCATCATCATCATCCTCATCCTCATCAGCATCATCAAACATGTAGTCATCCTCATCCACTTCCTCATCTGGCTCCGAGCCGAAATAACCCGGTTCATCCGCCCAAGAGAAGCGCAACCTGCCATCGTCTAGATGCTCCTCACCCTCATCGTCATCCGAGACCATTCCCATTCCCCAGTTGTTCACATGGGCACTCTTGTCCCAGGGGGGCACGACAATCCCAAGGCTTTGCAGCCTCCCCCACTCCGCCTCCACCTTCTTTATAGGCACCCCATGCCTCACTATAAGCACCTCCACTGTTGGCGCTATAGTGCCAAGCAATTCCGTCCAGGAAAAAACTCCCTGGTCACTGGTAGGTCCGTCCAAGTAGGCAACTCTGGTGGATGCCAGGCGGAGGGAGGAGACGACAAGCTGCTCCTGGCCGTATAGCGAGAGGTGGTGGAGAGCGAGAGGGGCACTGCTTTTGCAGGAAAGGACCAGACGTTTGGCCACAACTGATAGGGTCTCGAGGGAGGGCGGGACGGTGAGGGTGAGGTGCAGCTCAGTGCTGGCAAAGCGGAAGCGGAGGAGGCGTGCGTTGGGGAAGGAGAAGGCGAGGGTGGTGGTGGAGGGCACGCCGGGATGTTCACGAAGCACGTTGCCGTCCTCATAGAGCGTGAACTCATGCAGCTGCGGCGTGATAATCTCGAGAAACTGGAAGCTCATGCTCCCGTAATGAATGTGCTCTAGGGTCAGCTTGCGGATTGACTTGAACCATGACGTGTTCACACATTGCCAGTTGAGTTTCCACATGCCCCGCCCCAAATTCAGCTCCTGCAGCTGGGCGCAATCCTTGAGAAATTCCAGCCTCCAGCACTCGCTCTCCTGGCCCTTGGAGGAGCCAACATCGCCTTGTATCTCCAGGCGGAGGGACGAGAGGGAGTGGCTGCAGCGAGCGATGTAGGTGCCAAGTGTGGGGAGTTTTTTCGAGTCAGAGCAGCGGAGGTGAAGCGAGTGTAAGCCCGGGCGGACGAGGAAGTAGCGAACGGTTCGCATCCAGTGCGGGTTCTGGTCGCCGTACACGAGCGAGATGGGCTGGCTCTCCTGCGATTGCAAGTGGGTGGGGTGTGGGAGCATGGACGAGTGGGAGATTTGAGACATCTGAGGTGTGGAAGTTGGCTTCGGCACACACCTGGTGCTCAGCGTCACCAGCACAAGCAGCAGGTGCAAGAAATTTAGTTCTTGGTGCTAATGACCGTGGGAGACGTCATCCATCCCATGCACGGAAAGTTGAAAGCAAATTGTAAGCTAAGGGCTGAAAGCTGATAGGCTGAAAGAAAAGCTGAAAGAGGAACTGAAAGCTGAGATGAAACCTGAATGCTGAAACAAAACATAAAAGCTGAATGGAAAGTGAAACCAAAGCTGAGAGCTGAAAGCCTGAAAGGAAAGCCAAATGATGAGTAGCTGAATTGAAATTTGAAAGCTGGAATGCAATCTAAAAGCTGGAATGGAAACGAAATTTGAAATCCTAAATGACATATGAAAGCCGAAATATAATCTGGCAGCTGGAATGAAATCTGAAAGCTAAAAGCTGTTTTGAAAGCTGAAACCATGCTGAAATAAACTCTGAAAAGGTGAAAGGAAAGCTGAAAGCTGAAATATGAGCAATGAAATCTGAAATGACAAGAAATGAAGCTGGAGGCTGATATGCAAGGGTGCACTGAGTAGGTGGTAAAGCTGAAAGGTCGATGATTAAGTGCAAGATCTGCCAGGAGGAAGTGGAAATTTGTGCAGGCGAAACACGAGTGGAGAGAGAGCGCTCACGGAGAAAGCAACGACGAGATTGAGAAGCCTCTTGCTGGCGAGAGCGCAGCAGAGCAGAGAACATGAAGCGCCATAGGTATCAGCGTTCTCCTCATGCTGCTCTCTGGCAGTGAGGCCCTTTTCTTGGAACACAACTGGCGGACGATCGCGATCAACCTTGGTGTTGGTGAGATGGTCGCTGGTTCTAGTGTTAGTGAACCCAGGGGTGCGGAACCATTCAACCTCACGGAACCGCTCTGCCACCTCTTCTACCTCATCCTCTGTCTCTTCATCTGATTCTTCCTCTGATTCTTCTTCTGTCTCGGAATCATCAGAGCCAGTTTCCGTCTTCTTCTCCTCTTTTTGAGGGAAGATATCAGCGTCGTCCAGTTGGGAGGGCGGTTGATGCAGAAGGTGGAAGATTCGAAACCAGATAGGCGCTGGCAGCATGTCGACTTCATCAGGGGAGGTGTTGGCTGCAGCATGAACCAATAGGGAGGAGAAAGGGCTTTAGGGAGTGTTAACGAGACTGGCAAAAAATGATTCGCTTTAGCATTAACTTGAAATATGGCGGAAAAGGGAGCTTCAACAAGCACGGACCTGAAGCCTCCATCGTCTCAGAGATTTCGGTTGCAGGGAATGAGCGGGCGAGAGCAGGTTCCAGGGAGTATATCACGTGCTGGCCTTAGGTGTGAAGGTGAGACCGTGAGACTGGCACTTGCGGAAAGGAGACGTAAAGACTAGGGACATATGCTGCACGTATCAGGCAGGACTAGGCACAGGAAAGACTACGCTATGCAAACACATAAGGCGAGATCTGCAGAACCCTCAGTGAGCGTTAGTGAGCGTCGGCATGATGGCGTTTTCCCACGACCCACACTCGGTACCAGTAGCCTTCACCCGCACTTTCCACAATTTGACCAAAACCAGGCAACCCTGCTCAGCCGTTGCAAGAGTTACCTTGCTCATTCAGAGGAACTTCCTCGTGCAAGATCCCAGGAAATTCGAAACGGAATGCTGTTTCACAGCAATCGTGGAGTTCCACACCCAGGCAGCACTCGAAGCCTGCTACAGCGTCAGACGCTGACCAATAAGACCTAGACACAGAGGGAACAAATCCTGGAGTCCAGTTGGTGAGCACTCTCGTACGTGGCCGGGACCACCACCAGCACGACACGCACGCAGCCGGGACCACGTATGCCGTAAAAGAGCTGTCGATCGATACCCTAGGTTCCTCTGTCGCGTCAGGCTCTGCCAGGCTGGTCTAGGACGCGTTTCACGTCGCCAATTGTTGCTCGTGTTGGCTTTGCTGGATAGGCTCAGCAGCCAAGGTCTGTCGATCTGGCTCCCGCCAATTTGGCACAAAATCTACCTGCACGGCTGGCGGATTGAACACGCGCGTGGTACTCGATGCTCCTTGTTACTACGAAACCCGTTTCCGCGAACCCTGTTCGTGAGCGCTGGCAGCGGGACGGAAGCGAGAAAGGTGTAGGGAAGCTGGATGAGTAACAGCGACGGCCCAATTGACGCACGTGAAACCAGCTATCAGTCAGACACTCAAGCACAGAGGAGTTCCCGAGGAGGAGCCACATGGTCCGAAATGCTCGTTCCTACGGGTTTTCCCTCCCCTCCGGCAGCGCTACCTGGAAATCTCGCTTCCGCTCAATGTGGTTGTGAGAGCGCTTGCTACCGACTCGGATAACTTGGCCTCCTGAGAATGGCGTGGAAGCTCGACATGTGACAGCCATGCTGGATCTTGAGATTCCAAGAGAAGGCAAGTCATCAGTCTCCATATTCGTCGTCGTACGCGATAGAAAGTTGAGAAAAGTGCTCTCAGAACGGGGTTTGATCGATTGTTTTGCCTCGGTAAGTAATGATTTGCAGTAGTATGATATAACTAAGTTGTCTATGTCACAAACATAATGTCCATGGACGTGAATATATCCTCACATATTTAGTTATTTGCATATGTAGCGTAACTAGTGTACACTGCAGGGAATACCTGTCCATATCAAGCAAGCACCGGTCCAATATCCTTGTGTCCATATCGATTACCCCAGATGCATGAAACCTGATACTGAAATAAATCAAAGCCCGTAAACTGATAACCAATGTATAATGACGTGTGCCGCTGTATGCCTCATGATGCCTTGTCAAGAAAAGATGCAAGCTAAAGGCTGATTCTAAAAGCGTTCCTTATGCCGGAGCACGTAAAGCTCATCCTCATCAATTGTGTACCCCTCCACCAGCTTCTTATTCACACTGTGCATCTTCTCCCTCACATTCTTGGCCCGCTTCTTACCAACATCGTCATCCCACAACACCCCACTCTTCTCCCTCCTCACAATCTCCAGTGGCCCATTGCTCACATGCTCGCCCTTTCTGTGCCAGTAGAAGGAGCGGTCCACCACACAGTAGAGCGCCAGGGCGGGGTAGTCCTGCTGCAGTGCAGCCAGTGCGGGTGTGTCGCATGCCTTGCTAGAAGGGAAGGAGAGGAATTGCAGATTCGGAGCGCCGATGGAAGGCGGCTTGGCAAACATGTTCTGATTAAGCTGCAGCCTGTGCATGCTTTCCAAATGCACACGGTAGCGTGCCCGTGCCTGCTCGTACCACTCACCAGCACTGTCATCTCTTAATTGTTGCAAAATTCCCAAAAATCTCTATCGCCTCAATATTCTTCAAAGTCATCATCCTTGAGCGTTCTGAAGTTGTCCACAGTGGCCTCCTTGTCCCAGTAATGCCTCCCCTTGGTGTGTACTACAATCCCAAGGCTCCTCAGCCTCCTCCACTCTGCATTCACCCTTATTATAGGCATCCACTGTGGCACTACAAGCACCTCCATAGTCGGCGCAATAGTGGAAAGCCAATCTGTCCAGAATAAGTCCACGTAGACGGTCCACGTAAGCAACCCTGACGAATGCAAGGCAGAGGGAGCAATTGACGAGTCGCTCCTGGCCGTACAGCGAGAGGTGGTGGAGAGCGAGAGGGGCGGTGCTCTTGCAGGAGAGGACGAGCCACTTGGCCATCACCGATAGAGTCTTGAGCGTAGGGGAGACGGTTAGGGTGAGCTTGAGCTCCTTACAAGGAAAGCGGAAGCGGAGGAGGCGGGCGTTGGGGAAGGAAAAGGCGAGAGTGCGCGAGGCAAGGCGAGGACCAAGACTCAACTCTTTCTCCTCGTGGAGCGTGAACTCGTGCAGCTGCGGAGTGATGGACTGGAGAAAATGGAAATTCACATTCTTGAAGTCTACACTCTCCAAGGTCAGCTTGTGGATCGATTTGAGCCACGAAGCACCTGCACACTGCTTGTTCAGAACCCACATGCCCCACCCCAGGTTCAACTTCTGCAGCTGAGAGCAACTGCTGATAAATCCCAGCGTCCAATGCTTTGCCTCCTACTTCTTCATGAAAAAAAATTCTTTGCTTTGAAGCTCCAGGCGGAGGGACGAGAGAGAGGAGCTGCAGCGAGCGATGTAGGCGGTGAGGGAGGGGGTGTGAAGTATATCGGGGTCAGAGAAGCGGAGGTCAAGGGAGTAGAGGCCTGAGCGGGTGAGGAAGAAGTGGATGGTCTGCATCCACTGAGAGTACTGGTCATCGTACATGAGTGAGATGTGCTGGCTCTCCTGCGGTTTGAGGACTGTTGTGGGAGGGTAGAAAGGAATGGGGAGAGGAGTTGGCAGCATGGAGGAGCATGGGTTGTGACAGTTGGCTCAGTGATGCTAGCAGCACGTGTCAAACATTATATATGTTGTTGTAGTTGTTTAGGCTACAGTGGGTTAGCCTATAGGGGATACACATTTCTAGGTTTTCATACTTGTACTCATTTCACTGTTAGTTCATTCATTCTTGTTCAACATGGTATAGAGCAGGTCCTTCCTAGGACCGATTTTGTTTTTGGGCCCACCACTACCTACCTACCTACCTACCTACGCCCTAGGGCGCCTCGGCTTTCACGCCCCTAGAGGCCCCGCCGGCCCCGCGCTCTCGCACCTAGAGACCTCGGTCGGCCCCGCGCTCGCTTTTAGAGGCCCCGAATCGGCCCCGCGCTTACCCCTAGAGGCCCGCGTCGGCCCCGCGCTCGTCCTTAATGGCCCAGAATCGGCCCCGCGCTCGCCCTTAGAGGCCCACGTCGTCCCCGCGCTCGTCCCTTACGGCCCCGATCGGCCCCGCGCTCGTCCCTCATGGCCCCGATAGGCCCCGCGCTCGCCCTTAGCGCCTACGTCGGCCCCGCGCTCGTCCCTCACGGCCCCACCCGCTCCCCGCGCTCGCCCTTAGCGGCCCCGAACAGCCCCACCCAGAACGAGCCGCCCGAACCGAGCAGCCCGAACCGAGCCGACCCGAGCCGCCCAGCCCTAACGGAACCGAGCCGCCCGACCCGAGCCGCCAGCCCTAACCGAACCGAGCCGCCCGACCCGAGCCGCCCGAACCGAGCCGCCCGAACCGAGCCGCGCCGCCCGACCCGAGCCGCCCGAACCGAGCCGCGCCGCCCGACCCGAGCCGCGCCGCCCTACCTATACCGAGCCGCGCCGCCCTACGTGTACCGAGCCGCGCCGCCCTACCTACCCTACTGCTCCTACTGCTTTCCTACTGCTGCTACCATGGCTAGCCCTCCTGTGCTAGCCTTCGATGCTGAGGGCCGCCCAGTGAAGTTCGACACCTGGCTTGATGACCTACACCTCTTCCTACAGCTCACTGCCAAGGAAGACATCTCGCTGTACGATCACGCCTTAGGCCACGCTACTGCTCCTGCTGCTACTGCTGACAGCACTGCCCGCTCACAGTGGCAGACTCGTGACGCCCATGCTCGCTTCGCTATTCGCAACTCTCTGCCGATAGATGAGCGCGAGCACTTTGGGCAGCACAAGACTGCGCAGGCACTGTACACTGCTGTCGTTGCCCGCTACTCCTCACCTGCCTCTGCCGCTCTAGGCCGTCTCTCTCTTCCCTACCTGTTCCCCGACTTAGCTTCCTTCCACACTGTCGCTGATCTCATTACCCACCTCCGCACTAGTGAGGCTCGCTTCCGCGCCGCTATGCCTGATGAGTTCCTTGCCAAGAACCCACCCCCGCTCTGGCTCACTCTCTACCACCTAGTCCCGCGCCTCCTTGACACTCTGCGCTTAGTCAGGGACCACTTCCTAGCTCGCTGCCCCACCGAGCTCACCATTGCCCTCCTCGAGAAGGAACTCCTTGCAGCTGAGGCTAGCATAGTCGCTGTAGGTGCCTCTCGCGGTGACCCCCGTACCCCGTTCTTTGAGGGGTGTTCTCCCTCCCCCCTTCTTCCCTCTGTCGCCTCTGCTGCTGCTGTCGACCTCCTTGGTGCTGAGAAGGTCGGAACTGCGTCTGCTTCGAGTGGGCGCCGCAGCGGCAAGGGCAAGGGGGGCAAGGGCGGTGGTGGTGACAGCGGGGGTGGAGGTGGTGGGGGAGGTGGTGGTGGCGAGGGGGGTGGCGCGGGTGGGGGAGGTGGCAGCAGTGGGGGGGGTGGCGGCAGCGGCGGGGGAGGTGGCCGGGGCGGAGGAGGTGGTGGGGGTGGCGGTGGACGAGGCAGCGGCCGGGGTTGGGGTGGTCGAGGAGGTGGTAGCGGCGGTGGTGGTCGTGGAGGCACTGGCCGTGGCCAGGGCCAGCAGCACACTCCGTCGCCCCAGGAGGTCCGTGAGTGGTACTCTCAGCACGGGGGGGGGGGGGGGTGGTCTTAGCTATACGTACGTCATTCGCACTGGTGACCGCACTGGCCAGCCGTGTGGGGGACCGCACGCCACACAGCGTTGCTTCGCTCGTCTGAACGACGCGTGGCGTGTTCAGTTCCCTCAGGCCACTGAGCTGCCCCGCTGGGTTGATCTCCTGAAGAAGGGGATTGATATTTATGCTCTAGACTTTGATGCTATTCTCACTGCCATGTATGTGATGTCTACTAGTGGAGAGGGTGCTGAGTACCTGAGTGTCCCGCCCGACCCGGGCATTAGGACTAGTGCGTCTGCCGCTCCAGGTACTCGCGTGTCCGCTACCCCAGGTGCTGGTGAGGCTGCTGCTCTAGGTGCGTGTACGTCTGCCCCCCCCAGTACTGTGTCGACTGCAGCACTGCACAACTTCACACTGGATTCAGGTGCCTCTCGCTGTTTCTTTCGTGACCGCACTGCCCTTGAGCCCCTTGCTCGGCCAGTTGCTGTCTCCCTCGCTGACCCCTCTGGGGGTCCGGTCCTTGCAACCTCCTCCACTGTCCTTCCCTGTCCTGCGGTCCCGTCGGGCACACTGTCAGGTCTACACCTCCCCTCGTTCTCTACGAACTTGGTGGCAGGTTGTGCACTACAGGACGCGGGTGTTCACCAGTTCACCCCTGCCTACGAGCGTGTCACACACTGCACGTGTGCCCGTACAGGCCGCCACTTGGCTACCTTCACCTGGCAGCCGGGGTTGGACCTGTACACACTGACTGCTGCCCCCCCTCAGGTCGCTGCGTTTGCGTCTGCGTTTGCGTCAGGTCAGGTGTCCGCCCCCTGCTCGTGTCGCTCTCTAGCGCACGAGACTGTCCTCTGGCACCACCGACTGGGCCACCTATCTGTGCAGCGCCTTCGTGCCATGCACTCCCGGTACCTTGTCTCTGGTCTTCCCAGGGTCCTCCCTCCCCTCCCACCCTCGCCTGCTCCTCCCTTCCTTCCCTGTGTCGAGGGGCGGCAGCGCGCCGCTCCTCACTCCTCATCGTTTCCCCCGACGAGTGCTCCTTTGCAGACGCTCCACATGGACGTGTGGGGCCCAGCCCGCGTCCGTGGTCAGGGTCAGGAGAGGTACTTCCTGATCGTTATTGACGACTACTCGCGCTACACCACGGTCTTCCCCTTGCGCACCAAGGGCGAGGTCCCTGATGTTTTGATCCCTTGGATCCGCAGAGCTCGTCTCCAGCTTAGCGAGTGTTTCCGCTCGGACTTTCCTGTCGTGCGCTTGCACTCTGACAGAGGTGGTGAGTTCTCCTCCGACCTCTTGGCAGCCTACTGTGCTGAGCACGGCATTGAGCAGTCGTTCACGCTTCCGGCCTCTCCACAGCAGAATGGGGTTGCGGAGCGCCGCATTGGCCTGGTCATGGAGGTCGCTCGTACCTCCTTGATCCGTGCGGCTGCCCCCCACTTTCTGTGGCCGTTTGTGGTCCGGTACGCTGCGCATCAGCTTAACCTCTGGCCCCGTGTCTCCTTGCCGGAGACCTCGCCCATACTGCTGTGGACGGGGGAGGTTGGCGATGCGTCGCGTTTCCGGTTCTGGGGATCTCGAGCTTTTGTCCGCGATTTGTCTGCGGACAAGCTCTCCTCTCGTGCTGTTCCCTGCGTCTTCCTCGGCTTTGTTCCGGACGCGCTTGGTTGGCAGTTTTACCACGCCACCTCGCGCCGGGTCTTGCCCTCTCAGGACGTCACTTTTGACGAGTCTGTCCTCTACTACCGCCTCTTCCCCTACCGTACTGCCCCGCTCCCACCCCCGCCTCTCTTACTCGCGCCAGGTGCTGCTGTCGTAGACCCCCTCCCCCCTCAGGGTGCCGCTCCCTCAGGTGTGTCTTAGGTAGACCCGGTCGAGCCTGTTGAGGTTGCTGTCGACTCTCGTCTTGCTGGGGGTGCTCAGCCTGGAGGTGCGGACTCTGAGGGTGCTGAGCCTGGGGGTGCAGACACTGGGGGTACTAAGCGTGGGGGTGCTGAGCCTGGGGGTGCGGTGACTGGGGGTGCTGAGCCTCGGGGTGCGGTGACTGGGGGTGCTGAGCTTGGGGGTGCTGGGTATGGGAGTTGTGACTTTGGCGGTGCTGGGCCTCAGGGTACTACACCTGGACGAGACCTCTCCTCGGAGCAGTTGCGTGAGTGGTACTTACAGTACTGCAGCCTTCGGAGAGGTACCTCTGCGACCAGGCACACTGCAGGGACTGGTGCTGGGAGTTCTCCTCCTAGTCGGGAGCTCCCCTCTCGTGAGCGGATCCGTGAGTGGTACGAGCGCCGTTGCACACTTCGGAGTGGTGCGCCTCGTCTCACGGACCCGGCTGCTGCTGGTGCTTCGGACCCGGTCGTTGGAGCTGCCACTGGTGCTGCGGACTCTGGCGTTGGAGCTGTTGCTGGTGCTGCGGACCCGAGAGTTGGAGGTGCTGCTGGTGCTGAGGACCCGGGCGTTGGGGCTGCGGCTGGTGCTGCGGACCCTGGCGTTGGAGCTGCTGCTGGTGCTGCGGACCTGGGAGTTGGAGGTGCTACTGGTGCTGAGGACCCAGGCGTTGGAGCTGCGGCTGGTGTTGTGGACCCTGGTGTTGGAGTCCCTGCTGGTGCTGAGGACCCGGGCGTTGGAGCTGCGACAGGTGCTGTGGACCCTGGCGTTGGAGCTGCTGCTGGTTCTGGTACTGCCGCTGGGGGTACAGGTGCTGTCCCTGCTGTGTCTGGCATCACCTCGCGCCCTCAGCCGTACTTTGTTCCGCTCCTTCAGCAGGTTCTTGGTCTCTCGCCTCCTCCTGGTCCTCCTCCCTTAGCGTGTTCACAGCCTGTCCCGTCACAGTTACAGTTGCAGCCGGCCTCCCCACTACCTGCTCCTTCTCCGAACACTAGTCCTACTGGCGGTCTTACTGAGCGTCGTGAGTCTGCGTCTCGTCCTGCGTCGCCTGTCAGTCCTGCTAGCGCTAGTGCTCGTATTTCACGCCAGCGTCCTCCTCCTGCCCCTGGCACGCACCGGA